AGTGTTGAATTACGTAGTCGATCGAATATTGAGAATATATAATTTATTTTTTAGAAGCCGTCATTGGTTAGTTAAGTTGATCGAATTTTTAAGTTATTTTTCTTCGAAAGTGATAATTTAGTCAGACTAATCAAATGTCAAGTAATTTGTTTCAAAGAAGCTTTCCATTGTCTGATGTATATAGTCGGAAATGTGTTTATCACAGTAACTTTTTTAAGGCGCCGAGCGTTCTTCATGGTTTCTGTTTGGACCTGCTCCGATAAGGCAACATTTTTTGACTTGAGATTTATTCCCCAAATAATTTTGTTTTGTATCTATAAGCGATTAGCTTTTTTTTTTTTAACAGTGGTCGTAAAAAAGGAAGCAATCATTAGGGGACTTCACCAGTCAAAACGATAGTAGTGCATAAGTTTTTTCCTCGGGAAATGCATAAGTAAGTCGAGCAGACTGCTCATCAGATCTACGACATGTAATAAAAGCAGTTAATGTTACACCAGTTGGTCTTATATCACGCATTCAGCATTTCGATTCTTTTAACAAGTTCGTCATTGATTATTTGTAAGTTTGACAAGAAGGCACCTTGGAATGAAAATTTTGACAAATAAAAGATAAATTAATAAAAGCGAGAGGGAAAAATAACTCTTTGGGTGTTAAAGTTATTCACTGGTAACAGATGTAATAGTTATTTGTTTTAACTGTCACCTGACCGTTCGTTATATGATATTGATTTCAACTGTACAAACCTTTCATGGCCATGGTTAGGGAATGTTATCAACAACATCATTATTAATGATATTTTAAAACTCCATGGAAAACAGGATACCTTGCTCAAGGCTCTGGGGAGTTGAAAGGACAGTTTGTGGGGTTTATTCCCCAAACAGGTCGTGAGGTCGGTCGTTTTTACGTCCAACTGTAATAATGGAAAGAGGGCTATTGGTTGAAGTTACCTACTGATCAAATCTTTAAAACCGAACCTATCAGCGCACAAAGGATGAGGAAACACAGCTTTGACATAATTCTTGAAAGAACGAAAGAAGTATATTTTAATGTTTTTATCATCTAATTACGACACATAATTAGAAGCCTCTGATGGCAACGATGTAGAATGATGATGACAATTATGCAGTCACTCGAAGTCTGCTGCTTTCCACTCGCCCAAAGGCTTGCTCATTCACTCCTATTCAACAATAAAAACGATAACTTTTGCGAAGACGTTCGGCCTAAAGTTGTTAGGACCTCAAAACATCCTCCCAAAGCCCCAATATTACTTCTAGAAAGATCTGCGTGTTGACGCGCAAGTTTGCGTGTTGCGTTGCGAGTCTTGCCGGAAATACTGGGAACAAGTGGAAATGATTAAACTGGGACTGAAAACTGGACCTCAAGCATCACTTGCCCTTTAGAACAAGTTAGTAGTCGTGTGGTTACGTAGTTTTTGGATGGAAATGATAACAGCTGCTGCAGAATGCGAATGGAGACAGGATGGAGAGCATTAGGACATTCAGCCAGGTAAAAATTAAACCTCAAAAACTGCTATACAAACTTTTTTAATTCAAGAAACGTCATTCCCCAATTATTTTTAGTTTCAAGGTGCCCTCGTGGCCCGGCCAGAATACTGTGATATTAATATTTTCTGAACAATCTGCGGGAAATTCAAATATTTCCGTAATAAACACTCTGAGCACGTGCGCTTGATTTGCGACGAAAAACACTCTTGGAGCTGTGTTTGCAGGCGGTAAACATGTATAATTGAAGTCGCAGTTTAAAAGAGTTTTCTTAGGCAAGAGAGAAGGTATTTGAAAAGTCTGTAAGGAGTTGGCAAGAATACGTTTAAATTTGCAGTTGTTGTTGGTGTTGATGTTGCATTTTAAATTCACCGTGAAAATACGTGTAAATGTGCGCACAAGTGCATCGAATTTTCTCATGAAAAAAGAAAATCTTAATCAGAATATTAAGGCGAATGTAATGACCTGGCCTAAGACACAACCTAACCTTCATCACTTATGAGACGGTTCATTGTAAAGAAAAAAAAAAGATCTAGGAATTTAAAGAAGTCTTTTAAGTCTGTAAGAGAATACAAGTTAAAACCTCTCGCTTGAAAAATTTCAAAAGTGGGGCTTGTGTGTATTTTGCTGTTGCTCAGTACTGAACTGGTGTCAAGTATTTGAAAGCCTGTTGAAACTTGAGCCACCTGATTTTGCAATAACTTTTGGGTGGTGTAAATAAGATACACCACAATTATGTTACTATTTTATTCCGTGTAATAAGTACCTTTTGTTTTTGTGACTCACAGCACGTACATCCCTTTTTTCAATTAGTGCACTCTTACTAGCCTAACACTTGGCTAGGAATATGCTTTTTCCATTAATTTTTGTTTTCACTGCGTTTACATAAGAAGGATGCAAATGTATCTAATTTACCAGTCTCAACCAATTAAATGCTGGCAAAACTATTATAACTTGTAATTTGGTCAGTCATGGTTTACTTCACTTTCTTTAAGTTCTTAGTAGGTCCTTTTGTATTTTCCTTTATACTGGACTTGGCTTTTTGGATTATTTTAGTTGCTTAGGGTTTGGTTTATTTAGTGGGACATGGAGGGTTCAGAATAATGCAATGCTGCAAACAGAAGAGAACAAACACTGCATCGCTACAAGAAATATTATCAACACACCAACACTGCAATAGAAAAAAAATCTCAGAATTTACCTGCTCTGGTTTTACTCGTCTTTACTGTGTGCTGGTCTTTGGCTGGCTGATAGTGCATGTGATAGAGGTTCAGAGGTCGATTATAATATAAACAAACCTGGCTTGGGGTAAATTAGCTAATTCTTATTCAAGATTCACTCAGGATGTACATGTATTGCTATTTTGTTGTACAATCAGCTACAGGTTATTAAACTGCATTATTTCATTGAACACCTTCAGTTTGAAATTACAAACATGTTACACTGTAAAGTTTGAGATCACTGCAACACTGCAATGCTGGTTCTTCTTCGCTGCAATACCACACTAATAAAAGATTTCAGTTTGCACATCCATCTCTTTTTGCATGTTTTTCTTTATTTGCCATGGATAGGTTTGTTACATTGTCTTCTACTTGTTTAGAATGGCTACTTAAAGAGGCAACTCTCAAATAAAACTAAGAATTATCTTTCAAGTCAAATTTATTGCATGTTTATCTTCGAAAATCGGTGGTAGCACTTTGAGTTCAAAATATTTCCACAACCTATTACATATTATATTTCTTCTTTGGACTGGTTGGACAAAATATTAAGCATGAACATCACACAAACCATTTGCTGGTCAACCTATATCAAGAAATCAACCAGTATTAAGGATGGCACCTGCTATTGCCCCCAAGCACTCGAGCTGTGCATCACGTCATGGTAATGCTTGCTCTTCCATGAAAGGAAAAGCTCTTCTCCCAGTGATAATAATGCAAGTGACCAGCTGTGGTGGAAGGGATGTCTACCCCTATAATTTATGGATCAAATTGATTTAATCTTGCTGCCTTTGGTTTAACCAAAAAAAACATTTTTTGGACAATTGGTCCCCATGAAAAACAAGAAGAAAATGAGAAAAATATTTTACCCATTTATTCCTTTAATTTAGTGTTTTGCTTGCTTATGTGGAAAGAAAACACAAAAGACAGCAAAAAAGAAAACACAGTGCACAGTAATTTTTTCTGAAGTCATATTTTCTTAAAAACAAATTCTGATGAAAGAAAACCATTTAAATAACTTCATAGATGCTTCTAAAGTTTACTCAGAAGTCAAGTTAAAATGCAAACACGAAATCACTGAAATTTTACACATTTATCCATGTGGATAGGAAGCAAGATGGGTGAATAACTTCTTCAAAATGATCAATCTTTTCACTATTTTTGCTTCTGAGGATGGTAAGCAGTTGCTTTCTCACTTATATGTAGAAATTTTCTAGTTTTATGCAGAAAAATGCCTGGAGGATGCGGAAGTAGGGGAATTATGCAGATCCGCACCGCCACATCCTGTCAGATGCCCTGTTTATTTTTTGTTTGAATTTTCATTGAACTTTTGTGCAAACTTCAGTGTCATTTTGCTAGAACAAAGAGCATTATTTCTTCAATTTTCTTATGGAATGAAAGTTCATGATGAAAAGGTTGAGGAAGACAAAACAATTCTACACACTTCATGCTTGATCCACCCATCATGTAATGAGCGCAAAACAAGAGATCATAATATCTTGTTACAAAGAGGTTTCAAGCGTTTGCATGAACTGCGTTCATTTTGTTTTGATTAGAGCCATGATGCGTTTTGACAGAATAAAATTGGGGATTACAGAAAGAGGCAGAACCAACCCTGTAGGAAAAGAAATCTGAATCAAACTTATCTAAATGAATTTTCCCATAATCAACACTAGCTATAAAAATGCATGTTATTACCCCACCTCAGTTTCATGTGGTCAGTCATAGTAATGTTTGTCTTGCTTTTCTTGTTAAAATTTAGAGTTAAGAGATTTGCATCGTTTTACAGAGGTTAGTATGGTTTCATTCCTAGTTTTTACGCAAGGCGTTTGGGAATATGGCATCTACAGTTTTCTGTCAGATTTGATTTTAGTTAACTTCTCAGTTGCAACCTTTGAAGTCTTGGTGTCACAGGGTTGAGCTCTAGGGACTGAGTATTATGATTTTGGTAATGTATACACAAACTGTATTGTAATGGAAAGCATTTACTTCTAAAGAATTAGAAATATAGGTTTCTCAACTAAGGTTTGCCTTGCAGTGAGAGATTTATTTGGTGGCTTGGCTTTTGAACTCAATCCTATCTGTTGCTTTTGAACTCAATCTCATCCATTGCTTAATTTATTCCTGCAGTAATTGCAGTTTTACAACATTCCATTTGTCCTTCTGAACAAATATTTTTATGTATCCTCTTCTATTAAAAATTGCTTGGTTAAGATTGTCCTTTCTTATTGTGATGCACTGCATTCATTGGAAATGGATGAGATGCAAACTTCAGAACAGGATTTACCAAATTTGTTTACATTCGTGGCATTGGTGAATCTCCATGGTGATGTTTGTCATAAATATTTCAGCTTGATGAAGGCCTTGGAGGGCAGCCAGTGCAGCTCCTTGTTCATTTTAAAATCATGAACATGAGTACATCTGAAAGTTGAGAGAAAGTGATCATAATGAGAAATGCATTGAAACAAAGGGAATCACAAGGCTGTTAACATTGCAGTTTTAAATGTCATTTTTGGGAGGAACAAACTTTCTCTTAAAATTTCGTGACTTGTTAATGTCCCCAGTGAAATGATCTGTGAAATCTCGGATGAATCCAAACAATAGCTGCTTAAAAAATCTGCCGAAATGTTGTGCAAATTTTGGTTTGGATCAAAGTTTGTCAAAAAGACAGGAATTTCATTGAATTTCATCAGGTGTTTGCATTACTTTTGCACAATACTGTATGATGGGCCAAACTTACCCCTTATGCTTAAACTGACACTAGTCATGTGCATCATTTTATCTGTTCACGATATATTTTGTGGTAGCTGGAAGCAACATTTTTTACAGTAACACTTAAAAAAAACTTGAAAGGTAGAAAGTTTTGAATGAAAGGAACAATTTCATCCATATATAGTTTGTGGAAAAATCATGAAGTCTTACACAATTAAAACAAACTTCTTCTTTTTATTCTGCTCGCATCCAAATGAACCATTACAACGACAGAGAGAGAAAACAAAATACACTGGTATATATATGCTAATTCCTAACAAAAGGAAAAGAAACACCTGGACCAATCATAGGTCAAATTAACTATCCCTCTGAAACATTTCAAATTTAAAATAACAACAGCAAAACATAATATGCATAATAACAACAAATCACACAATTTTAAACATCATCTACTCAAAGTTTCTTGGGTCCATATCTTTTTTTCCCTCCAATGATTTTTTTTTTTTTCAAATTGTCCAATCTATAGGGGATGATTTGTACACCAAAATTGTCCCATAAAAAATGTGGGTCACTTTGCTCATTCACCTGATTTCATGATTATTATGTGCAATGAGGGATGTTAATTACTGCTGATTGACAGTTTGTCTTCTCATGCTTCTTTCCTCATTGGACCTAAAATAGCTCTCTGATAGCCAATTATGTTACTCCAAAAGAAATTGCGTCTTTCCATCAAGGCTTTTAGTTTTATTCTACATTAAAAAATTTCTAGGTTGAATGAACATCTTGCATCTTTTAGGCTCACTCACTGATTGACTGATTAACTGTTTGACAGACTGATGAGGACTGTGACCTAACAGTGCCCAGTGGCCCCTGGCACCTTACTTTGCGCTTGGGCCACTCAGGAATCTTAGTTTTTCATAAAAGCATAATTATGCTGGGCACCCTGGATTTCACAGCTTCAGAGCACTGGGCTCCCTTCAAATTTTTTTATAAAAGCACAGTCTCAGAAGAAAAATTAGTTCCTAAGGTGGAGGTTTTGAAGCTTGGTCAAAATGTAGAAAGTGACGCTCACTGATTTTTTTTTTTCGGGGGACATTTGAACATGCAAATTTAAACAAGCCAGTCTTGGAAAGTTCAAATGCCTGAGGGGTTGCCTGGTGGGGATGCTGAAGCTTTAAATTGATTGACACATGTAGCAACTCACTCATCAACTTGTGGCTTTAATGACCAACTTGCTGAATGATACACACTCTAACATACTGGCTACAGACTTCCTGACCAGTAGATGTACTGAATGACTGACTCTCTAACATATTGATAGACTTGCCAATTTGTTCACTGTTTCACTGACTAGTGAACTGACTAATTGACCAACCAGAAAAAATAGCTCACAAACTAATTGAATAACCCATGGAATGAATCATACATGACTCACTGACTAACTCTTTGGCTAACTGAATTAGTAACTAATTGATTGCTTCATTGACTGGATTGCAGTCTCTAAATTTGGTGACAGTATAACTTGCTGATGAAATTACTTATTAATTACTACAGTTTAGTAATTAGTTTTTTAGAATTTAGAATTTATATTATTAATTAATAATCGTTGATTAGATTAGTCTTCCCATGCAGTTAGCTTGTGCTTGTACAGCTAAATACATCTGACACTTAAATAAAGTTTTTATTATTATTATTATTATTATTATTATTATTACAGATGGCTGAATGGCTGATGACTTCCTTATCAATATTTAGCCATATAACTTTTCCACTGATTAACATACTTTACAACTGGATCTTTTGACTGTCCACAGACAGACTAAAAACTTCCCATCTGCATTGTACCACCCAACAGACCAGCTTTCAAACATGTGGCTCAAGGAGACTGACTGACTGACTGACTAACTAATCTACATGTATTAACTACATGTATCAACTGATTAACAATTAATAGACGTTATTTCTACTGACTGAGTAAACAATAAATGAACTGAAAGATGGTTGCAGTAACATGAATTCAATGATAAGGACTTAAACACCAGTAACGTTTGTGTGAGATTGTGTGACCAGTGGCGGATCCAGGGGGAGGTTCCGGGGGGTCCAGATCCCCCCCCCAATCAGACCTGACGCTTACAACTTTGAGACTGAAATTCTTACCTCCGCAGGATCGTATATCACTTTTTAACTGGCTGATTTTTTAAATTATTGAATCCAAGTAAACGGTAAGTGGCCAAGGAATTATAACGTGCAACCCCGACTGGTGGGAGGGGGTGTAGGGGGTGTGGGGGAGAAGTAATTCGCCTCAAAAGAGTCCAACAGTCCTTTCTGAACCAAAGTTTGGACCCCCCCAATCAAAAATTCCTGGATCCGCCCCTGTGTGACTGAAGGACTAACTGACTGAATGACTGAATACAGTCTGGTAACTGACTGAATGACTGAATACAGTCTGGTAACTGACTGAATGACTGAATACAGTCTGGTAACTGACTGAATGACTAAATACAGTCTGGTAACTGACTGAATGACTGAATACAGTCTGGTAACTGACTGAGAGACTGCACAGATACCAACATCTGAAAATCTGATATTTAGATTTTCTCAAAGGGATCTATTGTTGTCACTGATCAATGGAAACTGAATTGACGAATCAGATGATGGGTACAATGTTCATTTATGTTATAAAATAATGTGGAAAGAATTTTACTTTTTAGAATTTACTGCTTTTTAAGGAATTAATTTAATAAATGAACTCCATTTTAAACACGTCTCAGTCATTCAATTATGTTGCCAAACTTAGATTCACAGACATTCCTTTTTTAAGGTGAAGCAAAGCAAAGGATGGATATTTGTTGGTAACAAAGCAACAGACTGGCTGACTTATGAAAACAAACATTTGTAGACTGGGGTTGCAAAAAGGAAATGTCTATTTGCTCGCTTTTCTGTACAAATCATGTCATTATAAATATAAACACAAGGAAAACATTGATGAAAAAAATTCTTTTTTTGTTACCGGATAGGTGCCAGTAGTGGACGGTGGGTTCAGCCCTAAGGATGGAATTTGAATTTATCCTAATTGATGATTGCTTTGTTGTGAAATCCAAGTAGTAGCTGATGAAGCAGGTAAAGAAGACTTTTGTTTTGAAGTATGCTCTGAAGTTCACGTCAGATGTGTAGTGTACAATTTGATGGTGAACTGGAAGATTTTGCACCTCCATCAGTAATTCAAAATGGTATCCATGCCTGATGTGGTTGTTAAGAAGATGGATCTATACCATGAATTTAGACTTCTAAATTGTTTCCAAATATTCCAACGTGTGATAGTCAGCAGTAAAAATGTCTCTCATCTCACTTCTCATGGACATGTTTCTCTTTATTTAGGCACAAGCATAAGCGTTAATATCTACACAAAAAGAGAATAATAAAAAGTGAGCACGAGGATGCTTGCTGTATAGACGGCAGATTTGGTGAAGATAAATTTGAGCTTTTGTAATCGTTACGGTGGCCAATTTACCATTTCAACTTTGTTGATATATCCAAATTATTTAGTGAAGATAGATTTGTTTTTAAAATGAAGTTAGTTCGGCATGAAAAGATAAGTCAAATGTTTGTTTCACGCTTGTTCTTATGCTAATGTGCGGCTGTTTATAATGGATAGGGATCAATTTCCGTTCGCTCTAGAAAACATTTAAGCCCCTCGCCTGGCCCGTTAAATCACTAAATTGCGCACAGAGCATGCTTAATTGGTTACAGTGTAACCGAAATCAATTGCAATTAGTATCTTCTAGAAGCTGCAAAGCATCTTTACGAAGTTGTTCAAATCGAATGCACACGTATCTGTGTTTTTATACTGAAACAACAGCGGAGCAGCTTTATATCATAGAATTCAATGGCGTCCTCTGTGGGTGTCATTAATGGTTTCCTTGTTTCCTTCTTAGGAAAGAAAGATGCTCTTTCAATCTCGTTTGAGGTTTGGCAGTGCAGCCTATTTCGTGAGCTGAGATAAGTAGTGATGTAGATAACATAGAAACATTACAAATGCAAGAAAGATAAGTTTTAACTTTTGCTTAAATGCTTCCACGAGGTTTTCACTCTAACAAATTGCGATGAAACTGGGCTAAGATTAAATAGGCGATGCGAGGAACAACACATTTTTAGAAAACTACTCCTTTAGGACATGGAGTTTTCGTTAGTCTTGATATATGATACTAAGAGGTCGGTGTCACCCACAAAATATCTTCGTTAGTCTTCATCTGTGAAGCAAATACTTGGTCCCACAAAAAAGGGAAAAAGTGTTTCGAAAACGGATTGTCTACATACGCTGAATAGAAGTTTGACTTTGTACTGACTTTCAATTGACTTTGAACTCTGATGCAAAGTCTTGGTCCCCAATATAAGTGGTTAAAATGTTCCGGGCACTGGACTGTCTTTACGCACTGATCAGGTGTTTGACTTTATACAAATGATGGGAGACTCAATGCTGACCCTTTCATGGGTTGGTGTCCCCCCACAAAGCCTCTTCCTTAGTCTGATCTGTGATGCAAAGACTTGGTCCCCCAAAAAAGGATGAACTGTTTCGGACACTGGACTGTCTTTATACGCTGAGCAGACGTCTGACTTTGTACAAGAGATGGGAGACTAAATGCTGACCCTTTCATGGGTTGGTGTCCCCCACAAAGCCTCTTCCTTAGTCTAATCTGTGATGCAAAGACTTGGTCCCCCAAAAATGGGAAAAACTATTTCGGACACTGGACTGTCTTTATACGCTGAGCGGACGTATGACTTTGTACAAGAGATGGGAGACTAAATGCTGACCCCTTTACGGGTTGGTGTCCCCCCAAAAATCTCTTCCTTAGACGGTCTCGATCTGTGATGTAAAGACTTGGTCCCCAAAAAAGAGGATAAACTGTTTCGGACACTGGACTGTCTTTATGCGCTGATCAGATGTTTGACTTTGTGTGAGGAGTGCATATTACCCAAAAAATCTCAAAAAAAGATTCAATTATAACCCATTTAAGACAAGACTTCATATATTAAAACTTGTATGTAAACGGAAAAAATTTAGGAGAGTTTTGTACTTTTTATTTTAAAACAGGATTCAAGGAAGAGAGGGAATATCGATGTATATAAAACATCTTGGATTTCATTGGATTGTGATCTTCTCTATGAGGTGTCCAAGGTGAGTGGTTTGTTATCATTAAGAAACACACATTGAGGCAGAAGGACACAACATAGAAGCATAATTTTAGGTATTTTATGTCGCAAAGCTGGGCTGTGTACAACGCGGTCTCGGCTAATCAGAATTTACTTTCTGGTTAGAGTGGACTGTGAGGACGATCTCATTCACTTGAGCGCTCTTCTAGTGTCGCGAGTTCAGTTTACGGTCCATGTGCAGCTCTTTAACAAATCTTACAATTGTTACGTCAATCCGCAACTTGCAAACAGCGGAGCAAAACAAGTTACTTATTACCAACTTATGGAATTCAATATTTTAGAGCTTTTTCGGAGCAAGACGGGCTCTAACGACTTATTTCGCCATAATATATGCTTATTGATTGAGTGGGAGGGCCGGACGGGAAAATATTTGCCTCGAGGTCATGGCGTGCCTCATGACCAAGCGCCAAATATTTTCCGTTCGGCCCTCCCACTCAGTCAGTGAGCATTTTATCGTATACAGGTGTTGAAAATTTTAACCTAAAAAGGACGCGAGAGAGGGGCACACGCAGCCACACGAACACACATAAAAAATCCTGGAATTACAACTTTTCCTTTTTATTTTCGAGTCAGACCAAGAAACTCCCAATTCCTTGAAAAACACGAACTTTTTTCTTATTACTGTTTTCCTGTAAGTTTTTGTAACAACAACTCACGTCAACCCATCCGGCCCTGCCATTTCTTTTAAAACTCAACAGTTAATTTTTTTTAGCAGTCACGTTTTCGAGCAGATCCTTTCCAGTTTAAACCCACAAAGCAGTCCACTCGATTTATTGCTTTTCCTTACCGCCAAGTTTAAGTGCGGAGTTAGACTTGAAATTTACAAGAAAAGTCTTCCAGTCTCTCTTTAGATATCAAACTTGTGCAGCGCTTCCGGGCGAGGACGCCGAACGCCTCTGATTCCATATTTAAGCATAAAAGGATCCGCGGTTTTCTTTATTGCATGATAACCTCCTGGGCCCAGCTGTTCAAAGGGCGGATAACGCTATCCAATGGCCTGGGATAAATCGCTCTCTAGCGGAAAGTGGTGATAGAAATTACTGCGCTATCCACCGGGTGGAGATTTATCCAGTGAATAGTGTTATCCGCCTTCGAACTGGCGGAGCCAGCTCGTTTGTAAACACTGTCGAAGAATTTGGGCGCTTCTACGTTCCATGCTTCTGGTAAAAGTTAATAGGTCTGTTGGTGTTGGGTCAGGGAACACCCTGCAGCTTTCATTTGGTTTAAAAGCTATTGGATCTTGTGTTGGTCACTGTTGGCCTTTGAATCTCTTTTGCCGTCTGGTTAGGGTTTAGTGGTATTATTCAAAGACTAAAATTTCCGAGAGGTGAATAATTTTTGTTTTAGGCCGGCTTCCGTATCGCGCCCCGGGGGACACAATTTTGGTTCCGCTTCACGTCATTGCTCGAGTCAGGGGAAATTTAAGAAAAACAATGTTCAAATATAGGCAAGAGTCAGGGAAATTCGGTTTGCGTTAGGAAGATAAACGTCAAGCTAGAGTAAAATCTCACTCCTCTTGTCTTGGCCTCTAAGCGACTTTTTCGATGTCTTTTGATTGAATCATTATATTTTCTCATTTGTTTCTTTCTCCTGAACCTTTTCTTCAACACCTACTTCTCTTCACCAGTTTTATCAAGTGTTTGAAAAAGTTCTCTACTTTGTATTAGCAACTTTCATTTAAAACGCGTACGTTTCGTGTAAAAAACGTCTGTCTCGATACATCCTTTTTTTTCAAGGTTGACTTTTCTCTGAAAAGAGGACTTGTCCGGCGAGTGTCTGATAAGTGCTGTTTGTGAATTCTCGTTCATTTCTACACAGATTTCACGAAAAATGACAACCTCAGGAAAGAAACCAAGGACAAAGATAATCTTTTGGTATGGTAAGCGCAATTTAGGGCTGTCAGTTAGAAAGGTTTGCTAATTATTTGTAAAAGTTGTCCACCTTGTGGTACCAAAATCTTCTAATACGCATACGTATTACGACAGACGTTTGGTGAGAACAGGATTTCAATCCTGTTCAGAATATTCCAAATGTTTTAAAATGTGTGGAAAAATAATTCATCGATCTCTTGGTTTCTTGTGCGTGAAAAGCCACACGCAATGCATTTACCCATATTTTGTCAATTTTGTGTCTTTTTGGTCATGAGAAAGTAGAAATGTTTATTGTCTGTATTTATATTATCTATTTACCAATGGACATCTGCGATCTACGTTAAACCGTTGTGCGCCTCAAGAAAGAAAAAGGCAGCACTGATTAACTACGCTGCGCACTTTCTTTTCCTCTTTCAGGTACCACGAAGGTTCTAAGTTTAGAAAGGTCATGAAGACGAACAGAAACTTGTTTGAGGTAAGTACGCCTTGTTTTATTGCGTACTTGTTCGTTTCTTTCCTTTTTGGTGTGTGCAATGTGGTCTAATTGTTCAAAATTGTTCATTTAATCCTTCATTCTTCTGTTTCCAGATTACATAAAGCATGACTACTTCAAGAATCCAAACAAAGTGTCAAAGTCGACCGCCATCATTTCTGACCACTTAGAGGAAATGTTTAAGTATTAAATTTTGAAAATTCTCTCTATCTTATGGTAACATCATCTTGTAATACGCATGTGTATTAAGACAGACGTTTGGTTAAACAAAAACGCATGCGTTTGAAATTAATTTTGTACCACAAGATAGACAATGTTTTAAAATACTAAAGAAATCTCTAGGAAAGTGGTGGGTGTGGTGGGGGCGGATGGATGGTGAAACGATCTCAAATTGTAATGTTGCTGTTTCGTAACAGTATGTTACAGTATGTTATGTTTCGTAACAGTATTAAAAGAAAACTGATTAAAGGGGGTAAGTTTCTAAAGAAACTGTGGTGCTGCGTCGGTGGGGGCAACAAGTTCAACAAGTTAATTTGAAGGGCTAACGCTGGAATCGTCAACTTTTAAACTCTTTACGGTGGCCATTTACAATGTCAACTTAGTTGATATAACCAAGTTACCTTGTATAAAGAGATCTTTGTCTCACAAGCTAGGTGACTTGTCAAGTGTTATGTGTGGTGTGGGATGGTGGACGGATCAAACCCCAATTTTTCATTTTATTCTCTGAATTGGGGTTCGAACCAATTTTGCTTTTTTTCCAAGATTTATATTTATCTCTGGTCTCATTCTTAAGGTGATCGTGTTCCTTGGTATCCAGCTTTGGGTTGTAGAAGAAACCTGCAAAACAAGGAAATTTGCATATGATAAGTTGTGTTTAGCACGTTGCTTTCTGAAGTGGCTTTCTGGCTCCCCAATTCTAAATGCTGTAAATCAAATTTTTTGTAATTATTGATAACATGAATACCAATTTCGGTGAATTTTAGTTTGCCCTTAATGCTTGCATTGCTTGTTGAGGAATTAAAAACGATAAAAGAAACTACCGTGTGCTCTATAATTTGGGTTTGACTAAAGCGGAAACCACGGCGGGATGCTACATTTCCAAGCAGTTCACCAAAGCCAAACCTTGAGGTCATTTTAAACCTTTATGTTGTTAAATTTTAGTTTGCCCTTAATTAGCGATAGGATTAACGTCTGAAGCTGCTCAGTACTAACATCATTCATTGAAGCAATTTTTTTATTATTGAGATCTGACCGAAAAACTGTTTGTTGAAGCAGTTTCAAGATTGAAAAAGATAAACGATTAAAAGTTAGTGGGCAGTGTCTTATTGTCAAACTCACCGACTGAATTGGTTTTTGTAAAATATAATAATGGACTAAGCAAGAAGTAGAGCTTTCTAACCTGTAAGCAGTATATCATCGTATCGTCTTGAAAGCTTCAATCCCGGTAGACATAAACTATTCCTCTTTAACTACAATCTTCAAATAAACCATTGTCTCACTGAAAAAGACAGTTTGAGCAAAACTGAATAGCGGGTGTAGACGTTTGCCAGATTGCTGCACCTGATACTGTATGTAAATTATTATGTACTATACATCTAAAACGAAAGAATTAAACTTAGAAATAAAGCAGAGCCCGAGTAAACTCCACGTTACTACCCTAGAAAACTTCTCCAACACCCTCTAAAGATGCTAGCTGATCATTCTATTATTTCCCCCCCCACACCCCCCGGAATAAACCAAGGAAAACAACCTTCCTCTTAGAGAGATCTTCAAAACCCTAAGCGAAACTACATCCGACGTGAAACGGGAGGAGACAAATAACGACGTGTAAACGGTTATCTTTGAAGAGTTTTGAGGAGTTTAGAGGCAATCAGGACTGACACCTTTCCTGGTTAGAGAAATAAAATAATAAAAAGCTTGTGATGAATGCTCGTCCAAAATACCATCATTAGACTTTGACTATGCGTGGTATGTCTTACTTCTGTGGTAGAAAAATTATGACCGTGTAAATAAAGGTTGATCAACTATTGCATTAAGTTGTTCATGGTTTCTGGTTGTCCATTTATTGTACCGTTCGTTTCAAAGCTATGTTCACTCTTCAATCTATTTTTTCACCGTGATTCTTGTTTCCTTTGATATGTTTTATAACCTATTCATGAGATTGAAAATTGTTATCAAAAGAAATCAAGGGCGCGATCCATTCAACCAAAATTTCCGGAAATTTCGGTCTAAAACTGAATGGATCGGTTCGGTCCAACCGGAAAAGTTTCGAAAAAACTGGCCCACCTTTCGACGTCGACCACTTTTCTCGGTTGGACCGGTCCCCTTGGCCCGGAAATTTTGGTTGAATGGATCGCGCCCAAGATAACCTATTTCATTTTTTTTTGTCAATGCGTGAGCGGTCGGTACCCTACAAATACTGCGATCAGATTGGTTCCAGGAGCGAGAGGTATGCTCCTATAGCGAGCGGTATATATCCGTAGCGCGATGAGTCGGCGAGAACATCCCTCGTTTCGTTGCAATTTTTTATAGATGAACTCGATGGTAACGGAATTTTTTGCGATTCACAAGCCCCGATGTGAAAAAGAAGAGCCCCTTGCTCCCACAAAGTTACCCATCTTGAAACTTTATGTAAGCAATGGAATCAAAACGTCTTATAGAGAATGTGGGAGTAGACAATTTTCCTCGCAAAAACACTCATTCACGACAACCTATGCACATTCCTAAACCGTTCTCGAATGCTGCATTTAGCTAACCCTATGATAAGTTATTTTGCATAATTCTGTAATCCTATTAATACCCCATCTACTGAAATCCCAACCCCTCCTTAAAAAATGCAGCCTAATGCACACACAGATTTACTCTGTGGTACCGAAAGTTGCTTAATACGGAATACAATTGCTTTGTTTTGAGTGCAGAAATGTATAATGATGAGGTTATATACATACACACATACTAAAAAGTGAGAACACACTGTGAAGTTGAACATCACAGGATAATCAGTAGGTCAGTTAAGATAAAAACCGAGTCTCTAAGTCAACCTGCTGATCAGACGACCAGCCAGTCAGCTGGCAAGCCAGCCAGTCAGACAGATAATTTGTACGTTAGTCAGTCGGTCAGTCAGCCAGCCAGCAGTCAGTAACCAAGTTATTCGGTCAATCAGTAGGCCAGTCAGCCAGCCAGCTAGCCAGCTAATGAGTCAGTCAGTCAGTCAGTCAGTCAGTGAGTCAGTCCGCTGGCCAGCCAACCAGCCAATCAGTCAGTAAGTCAGTTAGACAGACAATTTGTAAGTCAGTTAATCAGTCACTCCGCCAGCCAGCAGTCAGTAAGCAAGTTCATTGTAGTAAGCCTGCAAGCCATTCAGTAAACTAGCCAGGTGGTTAGTCGGTCAGTCCAGTCAGTAAGTTTCTCCCTCAGTCAAACAGCTAACCAGCGAGCTGGCAAGTTAGTCAGTCTCTCGATCAGTCAAACAGCCAGGCAGCCAGACAGCAAGTCAATCAATCAGTCAGACATCATATTGTAGTACATTATAATGAAACTAAATGACTTACATGAGCTCCATGGGGACATGCCTTATATCAATTCACATCTTGACTCAGTTTATCCATGCACAAGGAGAGGCACACACCAAAAACCATTTATCAATATGGGCAGTTATAAGCCATGGAGCCAAGTAGAGGTCTGAGCTTCACATATCAAAGTCCTCTCTTATATGTGTAATAAAAATATTTAATGACTTTTAATATATTATCTGAATTAGAATAAAAAATCCATGAGCCTCTTAATCAGTACTCAAATGATACTGTGAGGGGAGGGGAGGGGAGGAGATAAAAATGTGAGTGATTTCTACTCTGGATAATTCATCAAATAATGGTGAGCACCAAATAACTCAAGTTGGCAGCTCCACCTCTAACATGATAAAGATCCAAAAAATATCAAATGCAATACCAATAATGACCCAGAAAACTAGGGTCAGGAAATAGACAAGACCCACAAAAGAAAAAACTGAAAAGTCAAGGGCCCCCAAAACTTAAAACTTTGAAATAGCCACAAACCGAAAAGAATTAGGATCTGGAAAGTCTATTTCCCAACAAACTTGAGATCCATAGACCCTACAGACCTTCATATCCAAAAAGACTAACAACATTTTAAGACCCAAAAATTTTGAGACCAAACATCCAACAAGTAAAGACCTACAGTAAAAATCCTAAATTTAGTGTCCAAAAATACTAATGTTGAAAAGTGCAAGACTTAAAAGGCTGAGACCAGCAAAACCTTCAATTAAAACACTTGTGATCTAAAAAACACAAGACCCATAGAAACCAGAAATCCAAAAAATTTGTAGCCTGGAAATGCCAAAGAGATGTTGCACTTATGACCTGGATTAAAAGACAGGACCTAAAATAGTAAAATCCCTGAAACTGCCTCCCGGTTAGTTCAATTGGTTAGAGCGCTGGATTGTGTTGTGTGGGAGGTCAAGGGTATGAGTCCTGGCCAAACCAATACTCATGGTCTTAAAATAAGTGAGGAGAATTTGCTACCTTCCTATATTCAAGAAATGGATGGATACTCTAGTCTTCTCGGATAAAGACGAATAGACTGTAGGCCCCATCTCCTGGCAGGGTTAGGGGTAAGAGACATTAATTTCCCACGCACGAGATAACTGTGTGGTGGAAGTCCTCCCCTGGGTGTGATGGGTAGGTGCTGGCCCTGAAAAGCCCCTCTGGGGAGTGGTCAATTAACCTATGTATGTATGTATGTATGTATGTATGTATGTATGTATGTATGTATGTATGTGTGTGTGTGTATTTATGTGTGTGTGTATGTATGTGTGTGTATCTATGTGTGTGTATGTATGTGTGTGTATGTATGTGTGTGTATGTATGTGTGTGTATGTATGTATGTATGTGTGTATGTGTGTGTGTGTAAGTGTATGTGTGTGTGTGTGTGTGTGTGTCTGTCTGTCTGTCTGTCTGTCTGTCTGTATGTATGTATGTATGTATGTATGTATGTATGTATGTATGTATGTATGTATGTATGTAAAGCAACAACCTGAGAAAACCCAAAAAACTAAAAAGCATAAATTTAGAAGTTTTGGAATAAAAAAGTCAACAAATTGAGTTCCATAGAAGCATACATTAGAAAAATTTAATGTGGCTCACTCACTTTAATGCCTCCCCAATTATGTGACTTCTTTAAAGAGGGTGGTGGGCCAACAGCTGGGTGAAAAAAACTCCGCTAGCATTTAGGATGACAACCCAGAGCCAGCTGTACCCAAATCCAAATATTTAAAATTTGATAGAATACCATTGTACCAAAAAATAAGTCACCTTTCATTTGCAGTGTTGTTGTCAGTCATCATCAATCTCTCAGTACTCTGCACCATCAATCCTGGGCTTGAGATATTCAACTGTCACACTCTCATCAATTGGATCTTAAATAAAGATACACTATTGAATTACTACTTGTAACATTCTTCCATAAAACAAAAGCTTCAATAACAACTACCCGACAAGACTGAGAGCATTACATATCTATTCTTCTAAAATAGCATGTTTAAACACAAAACATTGACCCTAGCTAAGTCTCAGGGCCAGACATTCTCATTCAGAGTCCAGTTTGCTGGCCAACTACTCCTACTGATTGTACACTATTTCATTATAGTTCTATCTCACATCCAGTAGATGAATCGCCATCTAGTAAATAGAGACATTAATTTTCTTCTGTGAACCCCACAGTACTTTGCTGGATAGTGATCATCTGGGATACTGCCCCATCCATCCTTCTAGCAGCTCAGATCTGATCTAAAACTTGGGTTAGGGCTTGGCATTATAGTATAACGGGAAATACTGGTCCTTACAGGAAAAAATCCACAATTGCTTCAATGAATACTTGCTGAGAATAACTATTTGAGTAGACATGTCCCTCCCTGTCAAATAGTACTGTTGACTTCAAAGAAAAGGATACACAAAGCTCAAATAATAAACTTCATTCTCTGGTTTAACATATGATTTTCTTTGCGGGCAATGAGCAAAATGTCTGCTTGTATTATTTTGTTAAACCATCTAATAAGTGATTTTTAAATCACTATGGTTTCACTTTTTATCATTTTGGTTTCTAGTTTTCAAACTAAGTCATACTACATTATCTGAGTACTGCATCAATTGCATAAGCTGTGCCCAAAAGATGTAAGAAACACAGGCAAAAACACTGACATGCTTTTACATGAGTGCATGACAAAAAGAACCTGGAACACAAAAAAGGTTGTTGCTGTAAAAGTCAACCATAAAGAAATCTAATAAAACCACAGTTTGGATCATTCAGAGTGGCCTTTTTGCTGCAACTCTTTCCATCTATATTTTTGCTATGTTCTACTGTGAACTACAGTATAGCCTTATGCACAGAAAATTTATCTCCTAAAGAACAAAAAAAAGTAACCCTTATGAAGTATCCAGTAGCTAAAAGTGCCACATCTTGTGTACTCATTCTGTCACAATTTTACATGAGTGCCATCAGTCTGAGGTATTCCTTAATAAAACTTTGCAGAGTCTTAAGAAAGAAAATGCCACCTTCTTCAAACTACAGGTACCGTATTTATTCATGTATAAGTTGACCCCCATTTTCAAGGTCAAAAATCGGATTTTTCATAATTTCCAGTAAAGAAAAATTCAGACTGATAGAAATTTCCCAAATGGCTGATCTCTTATTTCTGAGAATGTATTGAAAACACGGTGAATTTAAAAAAAAACTGCTGAGAAAAATGTAATCGTGTACTGTGAAGGTTAGTAGCACATGTTTACATTATTACCATGATTCATGATCTAAGTGTATACGAGCACTTCGATTTACTGGAGAAGTAATTCACCATATTTTGTAAATCGCTTTGCAAATCTTGATGCATTTAAGCAACCTTTTGAAAGGAGATTTAGTAGACCAAAGGAACACCGAAGAGCTTCGAAGGATCGCTTGATGAAAACACCACCATGTTGGTCCATGCACATAACAAATAAGACCACATGAGAAAACAGCATTTGTCTACAGCAAAGCTGTAAGGAAAAATGTCTGCTCTACAGATCAGAAGTTACAATTAATAGAAATCAGCCCCACTAGGTTTTTGTTTAAGCCATGTAAAATTTATTACTCCAAACTTTTTCGTCGATGAAGAATGTGCTGAAAACTGACAAAACTTGAACACAATTAGAACTGGTTTTGTGAACTCGGTTTTCCTAATGGACTTCAGGCAATTGTTATGCTAATTTCTTGGATTGCTTGGGTCAGGTCTTTGTCTATGATCCGTCTACAAGTCGAGGATGATTTTTTTGGCTGATTTTTTGGTCGTAAAGGGTCGACTTATACACAGATAAATACGACAAGTAACAAAAAAATAATTTTTACAATAGTCTCAAAAATGAGTAGAAACAACCATATTCTTAGAAAATCCTTCAGAGACTAAAAAAATCCTGAACCCTTTTAAAAGTACTGCCTACATCTTCAGAAAAAAAAAAAAAAACAGCGATACCTATAATTCCTGGGGGTTTAACCTCACTTCTGCAGCCTTTGGATGTCTCTTTCAATAAGTCCTTCAAGGATTGAGTAAAAAAACAATGGATGGATTGAATGGCTGATGGTACCCACGAATTTATGCCACCTGGTCGTATAAGGAAGCTATCAAAGGAACTGATGTGTAAATTATATTTTGAAATGTGGCATTATGAACAATTTACATGGTTCCAAAGACGATATGGTCTACAATTCAACCGAGGACAATAAAAATAATAGTGAATTGATTTTGACCAACTTTTTCAGTCAGACTCAGAGTCCAGTTTTGAAGGTTTTTTTGCATAGACACTCTTGCAAGGCTGTTTGTTATCATTTTCAACCGTTTTGTAATTAGTTACCAGTACATAAGTAATTTTCAAGTTCTTGTAACGTAAGTATTGTTATCTCAATACATAAATATTGAATTAACATGTTTTTCACTGTGAAAACTTTTTTTTATGAAAAATTTGGTCAAAAATTGGGGTGCATACTATGCATGGGTGCTTATCATATACAGGTAAATACAGTATACAAATTTAAATGAATTGAAGGTAAGCTTATCCTGGGATATTCAAAATAAAACAATTTCAGTATCGGTTGTGAACTACAGACTCCAGAAACTACACAACTGGATATCAGCATGAAACCCACTCTTGCTTTGCTAAATAAAAAGTTAGTTACAGTGCTTTCAATAAGATTTGAAATATTGAGCGTGACTTCAGCATGGTGACCGCAACTTGAGCGCGGTGAAATATACCTGGCGACTCACAACAGAATACCCGCTGGAGCTCTGGCGGGTGCCGGGTCTTATTGAAAGCACTGAGTTATCAACAAAAAATCAATATTATTGATAACAAATAAAAGATAAATTTTATTATGACTGCATAGCAATGTCCAGTAGCTTAGAAATGTGATTAAGATCAAATCTTCTTACAAGAATCATACAAATCATAAATTATTACCCTCCCATGGGTTTCATTAACGTTTTCAGCAGGAGGGCTACTGGTTTTCACAAGTGGACAAAACTTTTTGAACTGTGCTTCTTTATAAGATAAACTTTCCTCCAGATGGTCAAACCAGGTGGGCAAAACCATGCTCATAACCAGTCAATTCGCCCAGCACCCAGGTCCTTAATGAAACCCTTACTCTCTGAACCAGTAAAATTATAACCTTAATCAAAAGATCATCTCACACTGTACCAAAACACTCTTTACAATTCCTTTAGACCTCTCATGGCAACAGTCACTCATGGTTCAGCAGTTTTTTCAAACAAGTTAGGCAATAATACTTCCACAAACTTCTTAATCTACAGTAAATACTTTGCTGATTCATCCACTTTTGTGACTGTACCTCTATATGCACACAATCCACGTGTTTGCTACTGCAAGCATTTTACCATGAAAATTCTCTTGTTATAAATGTGAATTACCAAATTTAAGGTTCTGGCCTGATGCCTATACTGAATGTGTATTAAAAAATTTTTAAGACATGGCCACCCCCCTCATTCCTATAATACAATCTCCTTGGCAATAATCATCCTTTTCACCAAAATAGCATGAGTATAGTTGTTACAGTTTCACTCTCCATCGTGTTTCCAACTCTAAGACAGTAAAAGGTGTTGCAAAATAACCTTATCAGGCAGGCACAATCGTATGATAAGAACAATAATAATTAAAATGACAATTTCATTTCTACAATGCTATATAAAATTAAAAAATAATGGATATTTCATCATTTCTTGTTTTAAGATATTCCACCAATCTGCCAACCACAGTACCATCATTCTGTGGAATAACTCTAAGTATTGTATTTTGCACCTTGCTCACTTTGCAAATTTAGCGGCTCTTTTTGGTATGAGTTGCTGATTCAGACAGTAGAATGCTCTGTTTTTATAGCAAATGATTTTTCCTCAAAACTTCCATGACGTACAGATCACATCTATGTATTTCCGCAAAGAAAAGTCTTGATGCCCCAGTGGATGCCATTGTAAAATTGTTTACAAATTTATCATCTTTTGTGGTGTCATGACCAGATCTAAAAATATTATATCTTGGGACAGAATTTGCTGATTTAAACAGTAAAATGCTCTCTCTTCAAAGACAAAATTTTCCTGTAAGTTTCATGATGTACTAATCACACCTATTAAGATACAGCGTGTTTCTGTGAGGAAAAGTTTTGTCCTAATAGCATGCAATCCTGAAATTATTGTGAGATGTTCAGTGTCTCCTGCTGTGTGTCTTTTGTAGTGCCACAGCAAGAACTGAAAACATAACAGGCTCATGGTTACATGCCAGAAATCACAAAAGGAGAGGACTCGACTGTATATTAAGTGCGAATGTCAAACTACTAAGATACTCCAAAACAAACAATAAGTAGCACCAAGAAACGTCAGGTCAGAATGGGTCAAGATCGGAATAGTCCATTTTACAGTTGTGGGCTTAGTGGCCAAGCCTTCAAACAGGAGTGAGGCTAAGGGTGACCCTGTTATGATAGAGACCTGTATCTAGTTAGCATGATAACAAAGTAATTTGCATTTGAAAAGCAACAACATCTCTATCATAACAAGGTCACCCTAAGCCTCACCCTTGTTCAAAGGCTTGGCCACCAAGCTCACAACTGTAAAAAGGACTTTCCTATTGTTGCACTCAATCATCTCAATGACCTACCAGACTTTGCATCCTATAAGAGGCAGTATCCACAAAAATCATGATAATGTAAAAATTTCTAAACATATTGCTAAAAAGATGAGTCTTTACACACACACAACACTGTAAAAGTGATTTGAAGACACTGACCGATAGACCAGTTAAAAAAATCTAAAGGTTAGATAACCTAGGTGCAGCAACTAAGAAAGCCCTGTTACCATAAGTTTGCACGGGTGTAACTCTTTAAGAATTCTAAAAGATACAACTAGAGGGCATGTTAGGGACCAGTAGATGATTACTAAGTGCGAGTGTTAGGTTATTTAATCCTTTGCATGTAAGCTCCATAGGGAGAAGGTGTAAGTCCATCAAAATCAAACCTATGTAAAAACCTGTAGGCTTTTTAGTAACAAACCACAGTACAGTTTTCTCTAATGCACAGAAGCTCTAGGATCAGCTACTTTGCTAAACCAATGAGTGGCAAATTACATTTGTTTAAGTGCCCCTGAGATGAAAATTGACCATTTTATTTTGGCCTAAATTGTTTACACAATGTTGAATTGGGTCAAAATAAGACCCTTTTTGCCATTAAAAACTCCAAACAAACCTTCGATGACCAATTTTTACCGCTTCAAAGTCGTCCAAAAATCGTCCGCCATTAGTGAAAACATGTTCTAGCCGAGCCCGCAATTGTACAGCAGAAAACGTTATCATGACGTCAAAGGCTCAACAAACTTCTGCTTTGCTTTGTCACAACTCTCTTTGTTCACTGCCCAGAGAATCACACATATTACTTTTTTGAGAACTGTTTCGTTGTCAGTCGTGAAATGTCGACTTTGTCTGACGATGAATTGTCCCAGAAATCATCTGAAGCTTCTGTGGATAGTTTTGCGCCGACAAACAATGAATTTTTGCCATGCGAATAAAGATAAACACAAAATAGCACAGACTCCCAATGTGGATTTTGTGGTCCCATCGCTTTATCACCTTTGAACTGTATTTTTGCTTGTTGTAAGAGATTTTCCTTTTTTCTACGCTCTGTGTCTTAGGCTGTCTGTTCTGATATTAAAGCCACCTTTTTTTAGAGTCAGAGCACACAATTATATTTTTCATCTCTTTTGTATAAAAGTAAGCTCTTTGAGGTCATAAATCTCAATCCTTAATTTGGCTATTTTATCATTCTTATTTACAATGTTCGCTGAGTACTTTCCTTTGTGGAAGGTATTCTGCCAGAGAGTTGTTAAAGGTGGATATTGATCAGCTCACATGTAAAGGTGACAAAACCCATGGAGGTTCATAGACTTTGCTTTCGTTGAGTTTGCACTGAGGACGGTTTTTCTTTTCCCTTCTCTTGAACGGTAGGCTCTGAACCTGACAGAATTCTTCCCCTAGATCCATCAAAATACACAGATCTCTCAAAACAGTCCTCCGAGAGGTGTTCGGAGTAGATCACAAATATTTCTGCAGGATTGAAGTTTACTCGGTGAGTTCACACAAATCACATCCATTTTTCCTGCTCTGATCTATTTACAAGGCTCCAATGCAGAGAAATACCTGCAGCATGAACTGCACGATTACTTCAGCTTTGAATTACGCATCGATGCCTCGTCATTTTTGTTTAGTTTTTGTAAGAATAGAGTAAAGCACTCTGTTAGGTTTGCTTGACATTTTGCCATATGAGATTTTCATGTTGAGCCTTTGATGTCACTTCCTCTGAGTCCTGTGATCAACTTCCTGAACATGATCAAATAATGGCGGGCGCGAAATCGTGAATTTAATGACCCAAAAAAAGATATTTCTGGTGCTCGGTCTAGACTGAAATTTGGCAGAGTAGGTGAAGGAGACACTCTGAACACAAAAATGAAAAAAAAATGATGTACGAAAATTTTGATCTGAGGGGGACTTTAAATGACAAGTAACTCTTTAAAATATACCAGAGTAAGATCAAATGTAAGTCTAATAGGTAGAGATGATATCCATACCATTACATTAAGCTAAAATCATAGGTAAGAATTCAAAGTATTCTCCACTTTCTGTGTTGGCAAGTTTACATGGGTGTAACTTCCATGAAGCCACCAATACAAAGTAACCTTCTCAAGACCTCTTTTCCAAGATTTCAGTTGCCAAACTTGGGGTGCAGTTCATCTTCAAGTGGAGCTTAACTGCCAGTGTTTAGTCAATAACTGTCTTATTCCTATCAATATCTAAGATTACATAATTGTACTCTCTGGCTGAAGTAGTCTCAGTACTATAAAATGTCTTATATGCTGACGGAAACATCTCATCGAGACGATTCATTGCAATAGTGTTCATTCAATTGTGAAGCTGCCACTTTTTTCAAAGGGCTCCTATAATAACAACAACAACACTACGTATCCAGAGGTACCCAGACTTAAATATTCAAATTTGCAGCACTAATCCTTCACAAAATATCGGAATAATTCACCAATTTTAAGCATACTAAGCTGATAACATTAGACAGATAAAAAAAAAGGAAATTTTTTTTACTTTTTTTTAAGATTTTTCTGCCTACCTCTTGCTGGCAACTTGACATCTGGCAAGCACCTGGGAAACATGGTCTCCACATTTTGAAGCCTCTCTTCCTTCCATCTTATTTCTTTATATCAGTAAGCGATGTAAAAAGCTTCTGAGAAGCTGAGGGGCTCTTAAGCTTCGAGCCTTGTGTCAAAGAAANTACCGCTTCAAATTGCTGAAAACATGTTCCAGCCGAGCCCGCAATTGTACAGCAGAAAAGGCTCAACAAACTTATGCTTTGCTTTGTGACAACTCTCTTTGTTCGCTGCACAGAGAGTCACACATATTACTTTTTTGAGAACTGTTTCGTTGTCAGTCGTGAAATGTCGACTTTGTCTGACGATGAATTGTCCCAGAAATCATCTGAAGCTTCTGTGGATAGTTTTGCGCCGACAAACAATGAATTTTTGCCATGCGAATAAAGATAAACACAAAATAGCACAGACTCCCAATGTGGATTTTGTGGTCCCATCGCTTTATCACCTTTGAACTGTATTTTTGCTTGTTGTAAGAGATTTTCCTTTTTTCTACGCTCTGTGTCTTAGGCTGTCTGTTCTGATATTAAAGCCACCTTTTTTTAGAGTCAGAGCACACAATTATATTTTTCATCTCTTTTGTATAAAAGTAAGCTCTTTGAGGTCATAAATCTCAATCCTTAATTTGGCTATTTTATCATTCTTATTTACAATGTTCGCTGAGTACTTTCCTTTGTGGAAGGTATTCTGCCAGAGAGTTGTTAAAGGTGGATATTGATCAGCTCACATGTAAAGGTGACAAAACCCATGGAGGTTCATAGACTTTGCTTTCGTTGAGTTTGCACTGAGGACGGTTTTTCTTTTCCCTTCTCTTGAACGGTAGGCTCTGAACCTGACAGAATTCTTCCCCTAGATCCATCAAAATACACAGATCTCTCAAAACAGTCCTCCGAGAGGTGTTCGGAGTAGATCACAAATATTTCTGCAGGATTGAAGTTTACTCGGTGAGTTCACACAAATCACATCCATTTTTCCTGCTCTGATCTATTTACAAGGCTCCAATGCAGAGAAATACCTGCAGCATGAACTGCACGATTACTTCAGCTTTGAATTACGCATCGATGCCTCGTCATTTTTGTTTAGTTTTTGTAAGAATAGAGTAAAGCACTCTGTTAGGTTTGCTTGACATTTTGCCATATGAGATTTTCATGTTGAGCCTTTGATGTCACTTCCTCTGAGTCCTGTGATCAACTTCCTGAACATGATCAAATAATGGCGGGCGCGAAATCGTGAATTTAATGACCCAAAAAAAGATATTTCTGGTGCTCGGTCTAGACTGAAATTTGGCAGAGTAGGTGAAGGAGACACTCTGAACACAAAAATGAAAAAAAAATGATGTACGAAAATTTTGATCTGAGGGGGACTTTAAATGACAAGTAACTCTTTAAAATATACCAGAGTAAGATCAAATGTAAGTCTAATAGGTAGAGATGATATCCATACCATTACATTAAGCTAAAATCATAGGTAAGAATTCAAAGTATTCTCCACTTTCTGTGTTGGCAAGTTTACATGGGTGTAACTTCCATGAAGCCACCAATACAAAGTAACCTTCTCAAGACCTCTTTTCCAAGATTTCAGTTGCCAAACTTGGGGTGCAGTTCATCTTCAAGTGGAGCTTAACTGCCAGTGTTTAGTCAATAACTGTCTTATTCCTATCAATATCTAAGATTACATAATTGTACTCTCTGGCTGAAGTAGTCTCAGTACTATAAAATGTCTTATATGCTGACGGAAACATCTCATCGAGACGATTCATTGCAATAGTGTTCATTCAATTGTGAAGCTGCCACTTTTTTCAAAGGGCTCCTATAATAACAACAACAACACTACGTATCCAGAGGTACCCAGACTTAAATATTCAAATTTGCAGCACTAATCCTTCACAAAATATCGGAATAATTCACCAATTTTAAGCATACTAAGCTGATAACATTAGACAGATAAAAAAAAAGGAAATTTTTTTTACTTTTTTTTAAGATTTTTCTGCCTACCTCTTGCTGGCAACTTGACATCTGGCAAGCACCTGGGAAACATGGTCTCCACATTTTGAAGCCTCTCTTCCTTCCATCTTATTTCTTTATATCAGTAAGCGATGTAAAAAGCTTCTGAGAAGCTGAGGGGCTCTTAAGCTTCGAGCCTTGTGTCAAAGAAAGCTGTCATTTCACTGCAGTTCTCACAATATCCACCGCCACGTCCCGCCATGTTGGATTCAACCAGTTTATTACCCAGCTCTCCTCCCTAACGAGGGAACGCGCAAGTTTCTCGAACAACAGTGAGCGAAAACGCGGGAAATTGCAGATACTGCGCGGAAACACGTAAGGTTTTTTTTAGCACTTTCGAGGAAGAGGCTCCTGTCTGACATGTTAAGTAGGGAGAATTTCCATCAATTATCATTTAACATCTTTTAACACATGAGTACTTGTTCAGGACAGGCAAGGAATAAGGTTCAACGTTCAAAGTGTCAAAGTCCGGAATATTCGTTTATTTTTAGATCCAAGCAGAAATAATTTTTTGAGAATTCCATTTTGTATTAGCGGCAAACTCAACGGAAGGAAATGAATAACAAACAAACCCACGTAGCAGTGTTTTTTCCGTTTCCTTTCTGCCAAGCGGGAACTGAGCGACACCCGCTTGGCTGAAAAGAAAATGAAAAGATCGCTTTGTAGGCCATTTTGAAACCAAACAAAACTGCGAAAAATATCTCTAGGCACGATTGCAAATTAAAACGATATTGGTATTGTTTTTGTTTGTTTTGCTTCATTTCATTTCCTTTTTTTTTTTTTCCAGCTGCGACGGAGTACTCTCCCTCAGGGAGAGAGTAGTGAGAATGAGGTGAAGTCGGCGGCGAAAAACACGTAAAGTCTTTCAGTCCGAGAAGGTTAAGATTGATTTCAGTGGTTTTAACGAGGGGCAATTATTTTGAAAGAAGATGAGCGTGAGAAGCTATTCAAGTTGCATGAAAGATGGCTTCAACTACCGGAGATAAACATGTAAGCCAGATAAAAACATCCGATATCGTTATCTTTTTGACACTTTTTACACTACAATATTGATACATTATACTTTGGGGAGCGGATAGTTTTTGTTAACTACTTCACAAAACCCAGACGAAGAATAAAAACATCAAGTGAGTTTTCCATAATTAGAATTTCTCGTAGAAAATTTAGAATGGCTCGTATTGGGTCAGAATTCACCAGATGTAAATCAGACTCGAGGCTGTATTCAGGTTGGTCACGTTGCAGAGTGCATTGCAATCTCTTTCAACATCGCATGAAGGCGGTCAGGGAGTAATTTAAATATTTTCAGTAACCTTGTCTCCAGAATTCGACTGTCTTCATTAAAGGATACGTCTTCGATGTCAAGCTAAAAATATTACGACTTTTAATCGTTCTCAAGAACGGATTACTAAAAAGTATCAGATCTCGCTGTTATCTAAATACGACTTTCGTCATCCAATCAGATCACCTCAACAGAAACAGCAGGGTAGTTTGGAAAATATCGAATGCTGGAATTCGGAACCGAAACCGGATACTCGGAATACCCGGAATTCCCCGGAATGAGCGAAAAATAATAAATTTAAAAAATATAAAAGTAAATTAATAAATAAATGAGAATATTGATGATTAAAAATTAATGGTAAATTCACAACTTAATCAAATAATTTAAAACGAAATTTTTCTCTGAGGGTCCCAAAAAAAAAGACACTTCCCGGCACTGTTCATGGAGATGCACGTATTAGAATTTAAAAAAGTCTGCGTCAGGCCAGTAGCCCATACAGCCTAAGCGACGAAATATTTCTACTTTCCCTTCCCCCTGGATGGGATGCTAGTCGATCCACTCTCCGTTTTAAATTCGCCTCCACCCATTTACACACCTGTAGGATGTCTAGGGCGCCATGACCGTTAGGCCGCCACGCTTTTCCAGCCGGAACCATTGCAGAAAATTAAACAAACGCAATATTTCCAATTAGTTTAATAGTTCAATCGTAAAAAGCTCCGAACTATTACAAATTAATAGTCTACCTTAAATAATTATTAACCACACATTGGGAGCTATCAATGCAGCTACCATTAAGACCAGCCGTCTACAGTTAAACTTGAGAGATCGTCAGTTACTCGACACCTTTTCGCGTTTACTATATATACCTTGAATATATAGCTTTGAATATAAACCTTGTTTACAAGAATCCATCAGTACAAGGTTTATATTCAAAGATATATATTCAAGGTATATATAATAAATTATCCTGTACGTTTCTGTGTGCTCCTCAAGTTTAGCACTCTATTATCACGAGTCGACCTGGAAAAGTTTAATTTTAACTGCTCAACCAAGAACATACCAATACCGACTAACAAGGAATACCTGAAAAGGCTGATTGAAATGACGGATAGGCTTATCAACAGAATGCGCTGGCGCGCCTACCACTTCCTTAATACATCATCAGTGTCCGACCACCGCGAAACATACGGCTTTAACTCAAAGAAAACACCACCGCAACTGCCTGAGCTTAATGAATTCGAAGCTAAGATGACTAACCTGATCCGAAACATCGAATTCAAAGCTCCCCGCCCTTCCGAATTCCAGAAAAAATTATCAGAGCACGTCGATTCCATCAACAAGGACAGTAACCTGTATGTACCAGCAGACAAAACCACGAATTTCTACAAGATGAATGCCAGCGATTATAAAAAACTGCTGAATAAAGACATAGAGAAGGAGTACAAGAAAGCCCCCGCTAACGCAGAAACACATATTAACACCTAAGCGAAAGTCCTCGCCCAAACCCTAAAGATAGACGATAGAGTTGAAATGTTGGCACCTAATGAATCATTCATCACTTTGAAAGACCACCAGGACAATTTTCAGAACAACCCTACATGCCGCCTGATTAATCCGATCAAATCAAAGTTAGGCAAAGTAAGCAAGCAAATCCTTGATAAGATAAACAAAGCCGTCATCGATAAGACCAACGTTCATCAAAGGAAAAACACAAGAGCGACCCTCGACTGGTTCATCAATATCCCTAACAAAGACCATCACTCGTTCATTGCCTTTGATATTGTAAACTTCTACCCGTCCATTTCACACAAGCTTCTAAGCGATGCCCTATCTTTCGCGGCTTCCTATACCGGCAATTCCGCGGAAGACAGAAGAATTATTTTTCACACCAAGCAATCACTTCTATTCAACGACAACACCCCATGGAACAAAAAGCATTCAACAACTTCATTTGATGTTACAATGGGCTCGTATGACGGTGCGGAAACCTGTGAACTACTGGGATCGTACTTACTAAACCAACTACCCAGAAGATATCAGAAAACAAATAGGCTTATACAGGGATGACGGCCTGGGCGCATTCCAGCAAACACCGAGAAAGATCGAAAAAATTAAAAAAGATATTTGCAAAGTGTTTAGCACCAACGGCTTGAAAATAACAATCGAAGGAAACAAAAAGGTGGTCAACTTTCTTGATATCATTTTGAACCTAAACATAGGATCTCATGGAACAAAAAGCATTCAACATATAGGCTTATACAGCGATGACGGCCTGTGCACATTCTAGCAAACGCCGAGAAAGATCGAAAAAATTAAAAAAAGATATTTGCAAAGTGTTCAGTACCAACGGCTTGAAAATAACTATCGAAGCAAACAAAAAAGTGGTCAACTTTCTTGATGTCACTTTGAATCTAAACAAAGGATCTCATGAGCCATATTCAAAGCCTAACAACACACCTCTGTATGTGCACCGTGATAGTAAATATCCACCTTCCATCCTAAAGAACATTCCCCTGGCGATGATAAAAGGCTTAGCGAAATCTCATCGGACAGACAAAGCAGCACCCGTCTATCAGCAAGCGTTAGAAGCAAGTGGCTACAATCACCGTTTAAAATTTGACACAACTAAAGACCAGAGGAGTACAGAAGGGAGAAGAAGACACCGAGATATAACTTGGTATAACCCACGTTTTAGTAAGAACGTTGCTACTAACGTGGGAAAAAAATTTTTAGGCATCGTAAAAGAATCCTTTTCATCAGGGCACCCGCTAAGAAAAATTTTTAATAGGAACACTTTGAAAGTGAGCTATTCAGGCATGCCAAATTTAGAAAGAAAAATCAACGCCCTCAACAAGTCCTCCCTCGCAGATAACTCTCAATCGCAAGAAAATTCATGCAATTGTAGAGACAAACACTCTTGTCCGCTACATGGCAATTGTCTAATTCAAAATGTGGTCTACCAGGCCACAGTTGAAAGTCCCTTGGGAACCCAAACGTACGTCGGCCTTACTGCAAACCAATTTAAAACAAGATAACTCTCAATCGCAAGAAAATTTAGACATGAGAACAAAAGGAACGCAACAGAGTTGAGCAAATATATCTGGTCCCTAAAGGATGCTGAAACGGAATTTTCCGTGGCCTGGAAAATAATGGCTCGCGCCAGGCCGTACTCGAATACTACAAAGAGATGCAATCTTTGCATAACTGAAAAATTCTTCATCATATGCAGAACAGGGGCGGGCACCCTAAACAAAAGGAACGAACTGGCGAGTGCGTGCCGGCACTCAACTAAATACTTGTTAAGGCATGCTTAAACCGCCATCTTAAAAAGGATCGTGAGTCAGCCAGTATCTTATGCACCTGACGAGAGAGGACTTTTTAACCCTTTCGAAACAGATCTGTAGTGCGAAGTTTTAATTTTTATTTTCCTATACAATTGTTAATAAAATATTATATATATTCAAGGTATATATAATAAAAATTTCGTATTAAATTAAGTTAAATTAATTAAGTTTTGAACTTACCATTGATTTTCAATATTCTTATTTACTTATCAATTTACTTTTATTTTTTAAAAATTTATTATTTTTCGGTCATTCCGGGAATTCCGGGTATTCGGGTATTCCGGCATTCCATATTTTCCAAGCTACCAAAACAGCAGCTGCTCTTAGTATCATTGACTCCAAACTCTAACCTATGAACGGGCTACCATTACGGAAGCATGAGTGACAACTATTTATCTTTCATCGTCTTCAACTGTAATTTACTCTGCAAAGATGGTTGCCACAATTTACATCGCTTTTACTGTTGCGTCCACGATTATCTTTATTCCAGGTGTTGTTTTAAACTTTCTTATTTGCCTGGTGTTTTACAAGAGCGAACAATTTCGTACTCCACCGAACGTGTTCATTACTAGTGTTGCCGCAAGTGATTTGTTTTTCTCAGCGACCACATTGCCACCTCTCATTGCTACGAACGCTTACGGGAGATGGAGTTACGGAGAAAAAGGTTGCAAGGCGGCTGCATTTATAACTGCTTTCTCAGGGCTGGTCTCGATGATGCATTTAGCAGCTGCTTCATATGAGAGATACAACGCTCTAGTGTTCCCCCTCACGAGCAGTACAACTATCACCTTTCAAAAAGCTGTCCGTATTTCAGTCGCACTTTGGCTGTATTCTTTGTTCTGGAGTGTTATGCCCCTATGTGGATGGTCAGGGTATGCGCAGGAGGGAATTGGCACAAGCTGTGCCGTCAAGTGGAGGTCGCGTGATAAACTTGATCTCTCCTACAATATTTGCCTAATATTCGCTTGTTTTCTACTGCCTGTGAGTGTAATGAGTTTTTCATATTTTAAATGCTGCAAAGAAATTGTGTCGGGAACAAGAAGAGCAAAAACCATTTGGGGGAAGACGTCGAACTTCACAAGAATAGCAACTGAAATGGAACACAAGATGCTAATACTCTTCGGAATAATGACCGTGGCATTCCTCATGGCCTGGACTCCATATGCAATAGTGTCAATTATATCGATGATTGGTGGACCTTACGTTATCAGTGACGTAGCAGCATCTATCCCAGCATACTTAGCTAAATCATCATACTGCCTCAATCCCATAGTTTACGTTTTTCGGAACAAGAGATTGAGGCGACAGATCAAATGCACTATTCGGTGTGCGAAGTAGTATTGTGACAATCTTTGGTTCGCATTCATCGGTGAGGCCGAAAGGGCTTTGGAAAGAATTCAACAGGCTCAGGGTGATACCAAAATGCCACTCAAAAGTGGAAAATTTTAGAGGAATCCAAGAAAAAGGGGGCACTGCCCCTTAGACGCCCTCCACATCCTCCTATTATTTTCGGCAGTGAAGAATGATCATGTTTATTTGATTAGTCGCGAGTGCAGGCGAGAGGAGGAAAAAATCTTTGATTAGATTCCACATAATCCGGCATTAGAGTAACCACAGCCTCGCTGGAATAAACGTCCGCATGTTCCAATCTGAGCTAGGGGAAATTCTTTTGAGATTAAGGACGAGTACATATATCCCTTTACGTATGTTTCCTGTGTACATTTGGGATGATTGGGTCTGCATCTGAAGTCGATACTTTCCAAGTCGCTGTACAGATTAATACTTCGATTAAATCATCAAAGCAAATGTGCCGTGCACTGTTTCAACGTGATGACAACAGCTTGAAAAAAGTTTGCAAACTTCGATATTGGGACAAAACTGAAAAACGTGTCTGTTTTTCGTCTCTTGTACTCCTGCGTGTAGCTGCAGTTTCTTCCATTCTTCGACGGAAATTCTCAAATTCAAATACAACAGGCCTTGTCACCTTATGAGCTCACGGCCATAGATTTTTAGCGTTTCGATCATTTTTTAGATTGAAACAAAGATTACAAGTTTCAGGTTAAATTTACCTACTTTACTTGTACTACAAGAGTTTGAAATTTAGGGAAGGTTCTCCAAACACTGTATCAATGAGTTCAACTACCTACATGACTTTGAATGGTAATGCTCATGCTTTTTGACTTCTCCAGTTAACGAAGGCCAACTTCTATCACCCAATTTCAGTCATAAATGGCAATTTTCCACGCAAACAAGAAGCAACTGACAGGAAAAGCAATATTGAATAACTGTAGTACATGAAAGAAGCGATCAATAAGCATTGGTAATCCTGACAGACTTTCATAACAAAATTAAACTTACGTTATTTGAGGCACTTTATATTGTTACATCAATAAACAATGTTAGGTCAATGACGCTTCAAGACAAAACAATAAGGCAAACAGTCAAAGAACAATGTATGGGTTCATAACCTTTTAACTCCGACAATATAATCCGTATGGTGAGATGATCTGTCATTCTGGGTTTTGAATCGGTGGACAGAATCCTATCGTGTTACTATTCCAATGAAAATCCCTACGATATCTTTTCCTTTCTTTCTCTCTTTCTTTTTTTTTTTCCTGCCTTTCAGTTTAATTAAGGTTTTAGTTAAGGGTCAAAATTTCATCTTAAGAAACGATTTGAATGTTTTCACTTTTCTGCTGCCTCCTGATGATAACAAATGTACTGACGGTAACGCTGGGTCATATTGACCTCTAACCCGAACGAAATATCTAAGATATCTCTCTGAAATGTAGAATAAGATAAAGATGAGTTTACAGCTTCTAATGAAAATTCTCTGTCTGTACTTGGGGCTGAGAAAGATAAGATATGAGCATTCCTGCGTGTACAAGATTCATTTCATTCCTAAAGCAAACGTCTTCAATAGGTAAATCTGATCTTGCACCAGCTTACAAGAGAAAATTTGCGTAAGTCATTCTATGTACTAGCTGAAGATATAGAGTTGCTGTTTAGGATTTCCTTGAGTCAACTATTACCAGAGGAGCTTTAAGCTAAGACAAAGGTTGATTTTACCTAAGGTTATCGTTATCATTTTCTCACTGTGGGCACATTAAGACTTTATCTTGACGCATGGGGCGAAAATAAATTACGGGGGTTCTCTAGCTTATTCAACTATATTTACGGTTTATCTATACGTTGTCTTTTTTTTTCATCTGAAACGCGCATATATGATGTCGTAATGAAACTCAGTAATCAAATCTATTAAGACGATAAAGACTTATTTACTAGGTGGCTTTTATTGTATGTTAAACTCTCATGAAACTACGACTACAATTTATGCATAATTGGCACAATGACATGCAAGAAAGATAGCAGAATATAGTGAGCTCTGGACATCCATATAGTATACTATGGTCATAAAATGTAAGTAAAGAAAATACGATTTTGTAATAAACTTAGCTTTGACTATTTAAATTACATAATTGACGAGCCATTAGAAACTATGTCAAAATCGGGAAAGTTCTTAATTAGCGAAAGACAATTTTCGTAGGCGCGTTGGGAACTATTATTGCATTAAATGTTCTTATTGCGTTCTTCAAATTATGTAGCATTCTTGTCCCCAGAGACCAATTGCTTCTCTTAGAGAGTGAGGCCTCCTCAGTAAGAACGAAGGGCTTAAAACACTACTAAAACGACAGAAGATTCAAGGAAGTCAGGATGTATTTAAAAGTCTTGCTCTAGCCCATACTGAGGTTTGATGAAATCAATGGTGACAGAAAGGATAACTAGTTACCATCACGATAATGAACTTATCCAGTCACTTGAGTCTCTAACTCCATATCTCTTCCACTCTGCTTTCCTTTGCATCTGAGAAGATCTTTAAAGGCCTTTCTGTATTCCTTGTTAGAGAAATAATATATGAAGGGATTCATGCAAGAATTGAAAAGCACGAGAACGTTGAAAGTTTTGTGTACCGAGCTGCCAATCTTAGTGATCCCAAAAGGACTCAGGGTATAAATGGTTTGAGCAGGAAAACCACAGACTGTTAGAGCGACTGCCGCTAAAGCGCACATGCGCAGAAGAACTTTCTGTAACTTGCGCTCGGTCTCAACATTGGCACTCCCACTTGGGGATGATGGAAGATTGATTGCTATATCAGCAAAAGTAAACCATGTCGAGAGACACGGCATGTAGAAAGTAATTACACTGTACGTGACAATGAAAGCCCGCGTTCCTTCCTTACCATACGGTGCTTTCTTTGTGATGCATTTCTCTCCAGAAACACTTATCTCGAAAAACTTATTCATGGAGAGAATGCAGGTTACAATAAACATAACGCCTACGTAAATTAAAACGCGTTTCCTGCTAAAGTGTTTCTCGTATTTCATTGGTCTAAAGACGCAGAACCATCGCTCAATGGCCAAGCAAGCTACGAGGAGGATGGAGACTTTTCCCATGGCGAACAACAAATATCTGTTGCTGAGAAGACGGCAGAAAACTTCACCTCCTGCTCCGTGGGGGACTGGGTAAGAGGACTTCAGGATGACGTAACCAGGGGTGGCGACGATAAAGACACCTGAAAGTTAACAGGGAAATGAAAGACCTCGTTTATCAAGTATTGTACCGTGAGAACTATGTTTATCATGTCACAGTTTCACAACCAATGGATGATGGAATCATGAACAAGTACCGTGCACTAAAACACTTTCATACCAGGAAATCTCGATCTGTCGAACAAGTCAGTGACTAGCGAAGTGGCTTATGACAGAGGTCCGTAACAACAGTCTGTAAGATGCATAGCTGATAACTCCAAATTAGTCATTAACAACTCTGCACTACAGAATGCAAGGGTTCTATCACGCATTAAGGCTTAACTAATAACGTTTACTGCTATTTAATAGAAAAACACGAGGCCACATTGGCTGGACATAATTGTTCATTCTCCCTAAAAGTATTAAGTGGCTTAGTTATGGGAGACAACCACCGTCATTGCCCCAGACAAGGGCGAGGGGCAAGTAGTGCATAAAGAGCTGGAGGTGCTTGAATAACGCAGTCTCTACCACGTAAACCTAGTTCGTAAACGTTCTTACCGGCTGACATGTATTATGCACGAGTTTATCACACGAAGATCGTATCCCTGAGCTGTTACAATTCCGTTGTTAAACTACATGTTCATGACAATGTTTGCGGGAACAATCTAAAATCATTAAAGTTATAACCTCCGAGCTCGAACTAACCTGGACTGACTGATTAAGTCAAGATCAAAAATTGATACTCAAAAATGTAGCAAATATCATCAGAAAAATAAACAGATAAGAAAAAAGTATAATTATTATGCAACTTGAACTTGTCTTCATTATCCCTAAAACAATTTTTCTCATCGGTTATCCTTATAATTGTTTTGGCAGCAATCCATTGCATTAAAAAATCCCCGAGAGAGCCTCGATGATAAACTATCCATGTTGTCACAGAAGTGATTTGTGATTTATCCATTGAGCTTTCTGAGGTAGCATTTCTGTGATGTATCTGACCCTTCTCCTTTAAGATATATTAAAGAAAAAACTACCCGTATGCTTTTTTAACACAATGTTGACAAATCGTTGGATCATGTACTAACCTGTCAACACATCTACGACAGCCAAACTAAACAACAAGATGTTATGAGCTTTCTTGAGCATGGTAGGGTTTCTCAAAAGCATCACACAAAACAACAGATTGAAGGCGAACGAAGTCGTTGCGATCAGGCAAAACGCAATCTGAAGCCCCACATGCGAACTCTCGGAGTCTTTTGGTACTTTTGGTGGAGGAGAAGTGATGTTTTCCATCTCTTGCAAGCTGTAAAAGAAATTCATTAAGGGAAACTGTTTACTTACATGAGATCTATGTACCGAACATGACTCATTAAGTCTTCTCTTTGTGTTCTGAGAAACGAACTTGTGTAAACAAAAAACGAAATTAATCTCAGCATAGACCGGTTTATAATTGGAATATGACAGCCAGTCATCAATATATAGCTGTATAAACAATTAAATATCTTTTTGTGCGATAATCGTGAAATTTCTTTGTAAAAATTAAGCTCTACTTTATTTATCACACCTTGGCCCCTCACCAACAAATTAACACTCCTGTGATTATTCGGTATTGTAGTTTCTCAAACTTACATTAAAGAGCACTGTTTTTAGTTTATAAGGTAATGGCCATTGAGAAACTCTCGTTTGGTAGAAATATCAGCATCGTTCTTTGTATAGGGTTGTGACATTGAAACTCATTTAGAAACTGTGAGAACCAGGGGTAATAAATAATCCGATTACACTGTTGGATGGGTCTTAGATGTTCTGCCAACTGAGGCAAGAGTTAGGAGATTAACTTTTCTTTTAGGTTTCCATGCAGCAAGCGTCTAGCATGCTGCAAGGATCACTAATATTAAAAAAATCCTGAATAGAGATCGACACAGAGAGACTGAAGATGTTAGCGTTTCAATTCAAGCGTCAAAGACAGACAGACATGAAGATTTTTCATGAGTATGGGGCGAAGAAAGTCACCCGTTGGTGAATCCGTAACCCCAGCCGGTTTTGATTTCATGATAGAATTCTCTATAAATAAGCTACAAGGCTATCGTATGTTCATTAGTTAGAACATGGATCACAAAATATTTCCCTCTCACCTCGAAATCTTAGCTGTGCAACTTTCCGAGTACTTCGCAAACTATCTTCTGGACAGAGGGACACTGTATAAAAGGCAGATCGAGCTTCCGTATTATCCCTTTCTCGTTTCGTCTCACTTGCGAAGGACCCTAAAAGAACACTGAGTGAGATAGGAGGACGACTAGCAAGTAGGTGCTGGACATGCGATGACTGAAGTAGCCAGGTCTAATAAAACTGAGTCAATGGATGGCTTCAAAGACACGTAATAAAAGGAACCTAATTTACAGCCCAGTCTCCTTCGATTCCAGACTCTTTCCTCTCCTGTTCCTCTGTGCCCCCCCCCCCTCCCGCATAACACTGCAACGTCTAAGAACAAAAAGACCTTAAGGTTAAGATAACTTGGGGAGGGGCCCGGGGTCCACGGCAGGGAAGAACAAGATACAAATGCAGAGACAGCCGAAACATAAACTTGTTTCTTAACGGGAGTAGGAAAACTCTATTAAAAGAAATTAAAGGCGAGTGTATTCGTTTTCCATGGGGCAATGAAGTAAATTTGGTTGAATAGAATATAGTTAGGAATACTTTTTGAATAAGAACGAACCCCAATTTATAACTGGGGCATTCCACAGGAAGCCCGAGTAAATACACACCTATGACTTCCATCAAGTCTTTGATGGGGAATGCGAGGGTAAGGTTAGAGGAACGAAAAAGGTTGCCGACGTCATAAGTGCCCTACATACTCCGACTTGGGCTCTTGCATCCCGTTGTATCCGAAACACCTAATGAAATGATCATGAGAGCATAATTACTTAGACCTCAAAATTTCTGGGACAATTCATTTTGTAACGAAACGTTTTTCGTTTATCTGGGGACTTTGCAAGTTCCAAGATCAACGTCAGCTCCTGTTGTTTTTTTTTTCTCTGACTTGTGAACTAGATGTCTTGTAAGATGAAGCCAGCTTACAAGGCTTTAGATGTTACACAGTTAGACGAAGTAACAGAAGTATTCTATAAAACTCGCAAAAGCTTCCGGCGAAAGCTTGTCGTTCATCTACTGTTGCTTCTACCTCTGTTTGCTTGAGTAAGTTAGACCTCTGTTTATATGAGGCATGTGCAAAGGTATTTAAATGATTTTAAATGATGAAATGACATGTTATTTTTAAAAAGAAGAACAGAAGGGTGGTGGGGGGGGGGGAGGGTAATGATATGATTGATGGATGATGGGGTCCTGTTTTGAAACTGCCTTGGAATGCCCAGGTAAAGCCATATGATTGCCTATTCATAGTCTCAGGGGTTGCTGGGGATCGTTAGCTAGCTGTGAAGTAATAACCGATTTTGCTTTATGCTGTGAGACACAAACAATTCATTTGAGGAGGTAAAACTAATTTATTAGGCATTCGATGACAGAATTAATCATCGAGATCAAGCCACAGCTATTTCATACTCGCAAAATATGACCGTTGAAAGTACCTGAAATAAAACGGCATACATGTCTAAAATCATGAAAAAGGCTTTCCCAGGCGAAGAAAATCTGAGAAAACCAAGGCTTACTTTTTTTGTTTTAGTTTTGTTTTTGTTTTTTCACTCCGACGACAAGTTCAGTTGCAGTGCCCTCTTTCAACCTCATTTAGGGATTATCGTACAAAGGTCTTGTCAAGAAGATATGTCACTGATAACCCTGCTTAACCTTGTTTTTTGCACTGATAGTCTTCCTAACCTAATGTGGATTCTCTCCGCGATAAAAATAATGTGTTCTTTTTCCCCCTGATATGAGGGATTTTGAATGGATTATTATACAGTGTTTAGAGAAAAAGCAGCGGGGAAGGAAACTACTCTCACGTAACCTTTATGTTTTTCAGTGATCACCTCCTGTGTTTTTGTTGCAGTTCAACGAGACAGTCCCGTATATATGGTTGTTAATTTCCTTTTATCAGCTTAATACCTTGTTTAAATGGAGCATTTCCAAGTCAACCCTGATTCTTGCAAAATATACTTAAATTTGTCACGAAGCTTCATACCAGTTTCCCGAGTTTACATGATGAGGATGTTGTTTGGAGAATATCGTCATTCTTTCTGCATAAAGTCCTTTCATATGTCACATTTTGGACTTTTTCAAAGAATCAAAGGTAAATGGCTCGGTCAAAAAACTAAAGGATAGTTTGAGGACTCACTTTAACCAACCAGGTAGCGCCGCTTCGGAAAGAAAATCAGGAAATGCTCAATCTTACCTTGGAACTCTTGCCATCTAATAAAACGTCGTATTAAAAATGGGTTGAAACAATCTTGCACTGCCGACCACACTCGTAATCTTAGAAATCGTCATCGTTGACATTCGAAACGAGATATAAAGCTCCCGAAGATTAACTAATTCATTATCTTTGTTTTCACGATTTTGCCATCCATTTACTTTTCAAAGTGCCTATGAAAATATTTTTTTTATTTTTTCGTATTTATTGAGCTTATCATATATACAAATTTATTCCGATGGAGAGAAAAATTCAAAAAAAATTAAAAGTCGATTTTTTCGAGCCGTAAACTGAATGGGTCTAAGTGTAACAGATGTTTTTTTTATGTTTTACTCCATTCGAACGGATGAAAAATTGGATAACTATTTTCAGCAAAACAAGAGACCTTCCCACTGCGACACTGGGAAATCACAGACAAAAATAACACACAATAAAAGCGGCTTTTTCTCAGATCGGGCCGAGTAGATAACTGGCAATGAACGGAAAAAGTGTATAGTGAACTCACTCTTCATGTCTGTTTTTAAAAAAATTAACATCGATCGGCTATTTGTGCTTGTCTATTCCAAGAAAAATGTCAACAAAAGAATTTGCTTGCCATGCACTTACAATGAATAGAGCGGACAACTCTTTAATCATTAGTGTTATTGTTCCCTTATCACACCTTGAAAATTTACTCTGCTCATCTTGACGTTTGATTGACAGTTGCGGAATTCGGCGAAGGGACTCTAGTATTCCCTGAACTTTATCAGTTGACCAATGGTATCCCAGCAGTGCTGGATGTGCATTTCTTTATGCCGGACTTACTACGTATTTCGCACTGCAAGTAAATGTCACGGAAAACAATAGCATTCTGCGCGATGAGTGCTTTTATTTTATCTAAATGACGAGTTAGCGGGTGATAACGTAGAAAATTGTGAAAACTCTCTGTTGACACTTACAAACCTCTCACATCTCTTTTAATTTTGTATTAGTCAGCGTTGAATTACTCCTGAAATAATGTCCGATAGCGATGTATTCACACCTTTAGCAAGCTCTACCGAGGGTTGTGATACATCGTACTCAAGTAGTAAAGAAGAAATCGCCATAACGGTTCAGCCCTACGAAGGAGAACCGCGTGCACCAAACGAAAATTACGACGAAGGCTGACAAAGACTGTTTCTCGCCTGCGATGCTCAGTTCAAGATTGGAACAAAAAACTCTCGTTACTGAATGTTTAGTTCGTTGCGTTTGTTTTTTTCTTTGTTTTTTTCTTTTTTCTGTGGCGAACTCTATGTTAAGAATGGGTAGCCGGATATGCTCGTTTCTGTTGCCATAAGACATTATTCAATCGCACTAAGTTCGACGAAGGTTACCCCTGGCCAGTGCTCTAGAGTTTTGTTGCTGTTGAGCGATTCCCTTGGCAAACCAAAAGCTAACTTTTGACGGCAGCATCGAAAGAATCTGCTGTATCACGAGGCACGATGATTTTTCGCTGAGAAGTCATCAGGTAGTTTTACCGCAAGTTGCATCGATTTTCACTACCATTCACTACCATCTAATTCAATAATATTTGTGTTTCACAATTTATCTCGTTGCAGTGACATTGTTATTGTTGCTATTTTTAGTTTTTTGAGGGCAGGGGGGGGAAAATTGACGGCTAGTGAGGTGAGTTTTCAGGAACCAAGGTTGGGAGGATACATGGCCCCTTCGAGCTTGTGTTGATGCTGGTAACCGCCGGAGGTTTCGCACTGCGACAGGATATCGGTCAGCTCAGATCAGGAAAGGGCTTTGCCTTTCTTACAAATGTTGTGTTTCTGTTATTAAAATACCATGGAAACTACAGTTGGTCGGATTTTCAGACGATAAGAAAAGCGCAAATGTCATCATGAAGAAAGACAATGAGTGCGAGTACATCTCAAGCGCGTGAAATAAACAACAATAAGAAGCTCACCATTCTTCGCTTGCGAAATGTCATCCGAAAAAGAGTGTGGAACAATCGTGTCCAGTGTGGGAACAGGCCCCTTAATTAGCACCCTTTTTAGCTGAATTCGTTGGCCATTTTCCCCTGATTTGACGAGTGGTATGTGTTCATAACAGTCGTCCTCGAAGCCATTTTGGCCATACTGCTACATCCTCTGGAAAGGAGTGTATAGAAATACCCGGAGTATGTGTATTATTCTTGTCGCTAACATCCTTTGCCACTCCTGGCCACGCGATAAGTTCGTCCTTCTTCTTGATTTCTCCTTTCTCCACCATAGTTGCCGACGTGTCTTCACAGTTTTCCAAGTCAGAGCTATGTAACATGATTCGTTTTGGCGCGCGCGCTAAATGTTGACACTTTTTTGGCTGCCAAATCGTACTTTCAATGTACAAAAACTCGCTGGGCGCCAAGGTTGATTAATTTAAACTTTAAATGCAGTTATTAGCCAGAAAACGCAAAACAAAATTTCGTGTCATCGGCATTTAAAGGTCCCTTGATGAAAGGAAACACTTTTGATTAAGTTCAGTGTTTGATCGTGCCGTATGATCATCTGACTGAAGACAAGGACTGAATTAATCAACAACTATTTAAAAGGCGAAACACGGGGCTCATCTTTATGTATATTATTTTTTAAAAAAAAAAAAAAAAAAAAGAACTGTATATTTTTGATTGAAAGCCAGACGAAAGTTATTTTCTAAAGCTATTTCGAGGAGTTTTGTAGGAAAATGAACAACTCACCTTTTGGAAAGCTATTCATATGAAAATGTGCAATACAACAAAATTTAAACGAACAATTCATCATATCAAATAAAAAAATATGCAGCTAAAAACTTTTGATAACCGCTTTTTCGCAAACGATAGAGAATGATTTAAGATGTTATCACCGAGGCAAATTGCAAGAGAATGGTTTTTCAGTTCAAATGACCCCTTCGTTGCAGTGAACAGAACTACATCACATGAAATACCGAAAAAAGAAGAAAACTGAGTAAAAATGTAGAAATCATTCATTCAAAATGTCGTCCCACGGTGAGACCGCTCAAAGAACAGATTTGGAGCGTAATTTTTCTATTTTGAATATCTAGTTGTTGCTTGATCTTCGCTACTGAGTCATCTCCTCACGATAAGCCAACTGCTGAAAGCATAGTTCCCTCTATCAACTATGCTGAAAGCAATTCTTGTATTGTTTTCCAAAAAAAAATTTCACTCTATAAGGTCCAATCAACTGGGATTGCTCGTATTTTCAGTTTTATCTCCGTCTGTTCTTTTATAGGACAACTTTCTAAGGTTGAGATGGTCACCCGAACGCGATTCGTTCCGAGAACTACTCGTAAATGAATCTTTGGGCCTCAGCACAATAGCAATCATCCGCTGACGTAACTTTTTGTACAGAAAAACATAAACAATAGGGTTGTAACAGACCGATGACTTTGCAACGTATGCCGGAATAGATGCTGTAACATCACTAATGACGTCAGGGCCCGCGATCATTGCTACAAGAGACACGACTGCATATGGTGTCCAGGCCACAAGGAATGCTATGGTCATTGCCCCGAAGAGTATTACCATCTTTCGTTCCATTTCGAGGGCTTTCTTTGTGAAGGGCGATGTTTTTCCCCAGGTCTTTTTTGCTCGTTTTGCCCCTTTGTTTAATTCACGGCATGATTTGTGGTAAGAAGTGATCATGATACTCACTGGTAACACATAACAAGCAAATATTAAACATGTGTGGTAAGACAAGTCCAGCTTGTCTCGCGATTTCCATCTTAATGAACAGCTTGTGCCTATTCCTTCTTGTTCAAACCCCGACCAGCCACACAAGGGCATTATGGCCCAGAACAGAGCATACAGCCACATTGCGACCGTAGCACGAATTGCTCTCCTACGTGTAAAAGTTTGCTGACTTTTATAAAGGAACACCAGTGCGATGTATCTCTCGTACCCTGCAAGTGACAGGTTCATTATTGAAGTGAGACCACTCCATGTGGCGATAAAAGCTGTCGCTTTACATCCGTAGTCTCCATAGATCCATCTGCCATGAATGTTTGTGACGACCAAAAGCGGCAGAGAAGTAACACAGTATAACAAGTCACTCAGAGCTACGCTTGCAATAAAAATATTCGGGGCATTGAGAAACTTTTTGGTTCTGTAAAACACCAAGCATACGAGGCTGTTTAAAGAAGCGCCTATCACACAGATAACAGCAGCTAGCACGGCAAAAATCACGTAGATTGTGGGAACCATGTTGTGTTTAGTCTCCAACGTCAGTCGACAAAGCTCTGGAGGTAGAGCGTCCCACTTTGGAAGCAGCTGTCGATTTGAATATCATTCGCTGTGGAGATGAAAAGAACACCGCTGTGGCCATAAAAATGAAATATTAATCGTGACGAAATTATATTAACCATTGGGAACTGTTAGCGCTGAGGCAGAGACAGTCAGCGTAGATTAAGGCGGGTGGATTTGCATGTACGCCAATTCTGATGGACTTGCGCATTGATGGCAGTTTTCAAGTGCTGTATTAAGAGTGAGAGGGAAAACAAAAAAAAAAAAGATAAAATAAATTTATCAAAGTTTGATCCGGCGGTGGGAATGAACTGATATTACGTATGCGAATTTATAAAGCTCCTTAATTGAAATTTTATCTAACTACTATCTTGATTGTTATCGCCTACCAAATCTGTTTGTCTCGCCTGTGAAAATGTGTCTCGAGCCAATTTCGTTCACATGCAATCAAAAGCATGATTATTCACGACAAAGTCTATCATGCAGCGGAAACTCTAGTGCATGATTAGGCTGTGGCTATTGTACTTTTGTTTATTGCACCTTTCTCAATGCTGCCCAGAGTAGGTTGAAAATTCATTACATTTTTCTCACGTTGAATGCAGCTGTAAACTCTCCTGGTAGAGGTTTTTCTAAAAGCTGTATCTTGACGATTCGATCATTTTATGATTATAATGAGATACTTCTTTTGGCTATGAGAACTTTAATAAAGTAGTCAGATGCCATTTGAGCCACACGGAATGAGAAATGACATATTGCGCAGTTTTAATTTTGGTATGTTTGATATCACGCTATTTATCAGTACACAACATAAGCTACTATGATTCATCCATCAATTGCAGAAGTACTGTAAATAGTTCAGGCTACTATAGTACCTTTGACAACTCTGAAAACAGAGACTATTATGAGAGTCTCGTGACTAATTCGTCTTCACGAGCAGTCCAGACAAGACTTAATAAATGAATTATTGACTTTTTGATACCTTATCTTCTTTTAGCGGGAGTCCTTTTGGAAGGAATTTGCCATTTCTCTTGTGTAAAAGGATCCCCAATTGCGAAAAACCGACTAATGTCCTTCTATTGTTTCTTATTGCAGAGAAGGGAAAAACATGAATGATTGGATGGATGGAAAGAATTAGCCTGTCCGTTGTATGTTATATTTCTAACAATTTCACTAACAATGGACTAAAGGGATCTTTGACATATCCGTGGGGGAGGGGTGAATTGATAAATAAAGACGTAAAATTTTATCTAAGGGGTCGACCATTTAACTTTTGAGTGGGGGGGTGGGTGATTTCTGGTCATCAAGAAAATTTTTTTCTAGCAATCTGCTGGGCAGGATATTTTTCCGTCCTAAATGCTCTGCAGGATATTTTTCTCCCTCCTGATTTCTCTGCAGGATTTTTTTTTCCTCAATAAAAGGGTCATGTGTTTACATATGCAAAATGTATTTACATTTACATTGTGATCATTGAATGGGATACCAACTAAACTCCGAACACTACCAAAACTCATCTTTAAAAGGAAAATTCGTACGATCTTGTCCAATATACTAGAACTAGAGGACTCCTACGAAGACTTAGAATCGATAATCTCTAAAGTTAGTAAATACTCTTAGTAACTATCAGCTTTGTCTCGCCCATCCTACCTGCGCTGTCAACTTGAATTAATCACATAGTTGTTTCCGTAGACTTAATTTGTTTTCGTATTTACTATCTATTTACTTCTCTGTAGTTTTTACTGTGCGTATTTTCCTCTTCTTTTACTGATTATCATGGCCCGCCTCGATTAGCACTGCTATCTGCGGAGCCAGGGGAATAAGGATTTATTGTTAAATAACAAATAAAAATGTTGTTAAATAACAAATAAAATTCCCCTTCTACATTGAGTACCTCAAAGTTGAACATAAAAGCAATGTGATGGTGTTCCAAGTTGCCCTGGATATACCTGCACTCCCCCCATTGGGCTTAGACATTGCTATATGGATTGCTAAACTTCAAAAAATATTATATTTATTAAAATAGAAAAAGAGCATTACAAAAATATTATATTTAAATAGAAAATAATTACATAAAATTGTTTCTGTTAAAAATGAAAAAAATAACTTCCTTTGTCTATTAGAACTTGATTCATTAATAAAAAAAGTTTACCTCCATTATAATACTGCTGAAGATAGCTAATAATGCATTGCATGTCTGAAGCAATAATTTTTCAGCATCATCAAAAGGAGCAATGGTTGCAGTTTTGCTGCGATTTTGTAAAGCCCCCTGAAATGATGAAACAGCTTTGCAACATTTTTTTCCTTTCTTACGGCAACGCAAGAATTTTTTTTCTGTTACATTTGGGCTGCATGCAATCTTTTTCTTCCAACAAGCGCTTGGAGGAATTTTTTTTCAAAATCACCCACCCCCCTCCCTCAAAAGTTAAATGGTCGGCCCCTAATCTAAAGCAGTGAGCTAAAATATTATTTTAAGTATAAACGTTGACAGAAGAATAGCAAATACGAAGCTATTAGTTGTTTATAAAAACAATTAAGGAACTCTTTTACTGGTGTTATACTAAGAGTGGATAGAGAAATTGGAAAATTATGGAAGTATGGAGTAATGGATGGACGGACGGACGGAAAGATGGATAAATGGAAAGATGGAACGATGGATGGATGAAGGGATGGAAAGTTAGAAAGATGGAAGGTTGGAAGGATGGAAAGAAAGAAGTAAACTAAGGGGAATCGTCAATCACAGATGGAAACAACAGGCAGGCAAACTATAACAGAGCGAGGGTAAAATGTTCGATGTGAAATTGTCTCGTTTACGGCCTACATTTGATTCTCTTGAGGAATTTCAAAAGGATTGTTGGTGGAGAATTTGTCTGTGAACGATCGAGTTTTGAAATGTAGAACGAATAAAAGTTTTCTCTGATGGTTTTTCATGATATTAAAATATCAGTTTTATCAGCTTAGTGGTGGTAAATCTTTTGGTAAACTGAGAACCTACCATCCATTATATCCGTTCTGCTAAGCTCCTAAACCATGTGACTACAAGCCAAGTGCACTCAACTCGAATTAATTCGAAGGCTTTGATTTTCTGGCGACCAAACTAAATCGCCCTTGAACTTCGCCTTTGTTGTCTGCGGGTGCTTGCCGCGGTCCAAATTATCCCAGTAATTTGCAATATGGCTAGTCTTACCTTGGCATTAAATATTTCTTCCTACACTTTCAACTCGGTTCATCGATAACATCTCACAAAGCTGTTGACGGGATCCGTTTAGATTTAGTCTTTCTTTGTTTTCAGGTCGTGTCTGGATGCAAATCACACCAACATTCCAAAACAATTCATTTCAAAAAGTTTTACCCCCTGTTAATCAATTCAATTTCTCAGTCAAGCAAAGGATAAATTATGGTATTTTTTGCGAGTTAGTTTTCATTTCTAAGTAATGTCTCTCCAGGTACATTATTGATTAAAACAAATTTGCTTTTTTCCTCTTGAGCACGTTTTTTCAAAATTGTAGTTGTCAAGAACAGTGGGATTCAAATCCAGAATTTGGCTTGGTTTTAACTCTGTAAAACTCTAATGAAATTCAAATAGTACATGTACACAATAGATGATATATGTTGTCAACTTGTTTGCCATTACAATCTGTATTAGGATATGCTATGTAAATCTTTTTTAAATGAAAAATTCATCTTTCTATGCTTTGAAGCAATGTAAGAATTGTCTCTGACTGGTGGGCGAAGTCGTGTATCATATCAAAATATTTCATGAATTATTTAACTTCTGTAACAATAACCCCTTTTACCACAACGCTTACCAAGTCGACTAGTGTGAAAATAATTAAAATTTGTTTGATTTTCAAGAAAAAAACGTTTGCACCTTTATTATTAGAAATTTTTGACTGGTTTTCCTCAGTTGAAAAAATAAAACAAGCAAACAAACAGCCAAGCAAATATACAAACTATGCTTAAATATTTTAATTCACCACTCCCGATGCTAGTTTCCTCGTTATGAAAATATGGACGCAAACAATTATCAAAATAACTATAATTGAAAGCTGTAACTTGGTGAAATATTTCCCAAAGCCGAAGCTGTGCATAAATGCCCAAATAACTGAAACTCTCAGCTGTTCGTGAAGAGAGAAACTATCACAGCATGTGATCAGAAAATGTCGCGACTTGATGGAAATCTGGCGGGCGGTCAAAATCTGCCAAACCGTTCTCCAGTTAAGAGGTATTTTTCTTAATCAATGCCCTGTTAAGCCTCTTTACGTCGCAATAGGCTCCCTTCTGCTTCTGATGAACAAAAAGAAAAAGGAAAATTGAACACCTGGTACTGTGGTACCGTTTTAGATAGGAAAGATCGTGAAGCATTTAACAGGTCTTATTAAAATTTGCATTCTAAGCAACCGTTCGAAGGGGAAATATTTCATCAGAGATTGACAGAGGAGAGCCTGGGTGTGGGTTTCTTGCGGGTCTAGAGTAGTAGTCCGTTTCTCGAAAGTCCCGGTAACTAACAGGCCCGAAACCATGTTTCAAAATCAAAATTTAAAGGATAGGAAAGCAGGTTCTGGCACCCAAACCACTCCTTTTTGTTTCTTTAGCTGATAGTTTTTTAGTATCGTTTTTAAAACTTTTTGAAATCTCCATCTCGAATAAAAGCAGAACAGCTTCACGGGCCCGTTAAGTTATCAGGACTTTCGAGAAACAAGCCACTGATATTTTAATTATCAGTTTAAAGGCTTTGTTTTTTTTTAAGAAAGGATCAAGTTTTTTTATTTTTTTTTATCGCGATAACGGCGTATTACAACCTAACGCCTTTTTACACCTCTTCAGAAAAAAGGGCATCTAACTAGTAAGCATATAAAAGGACTTTATTACAACGATAAGATGACCACTGATGAAGGCACTATACACGAGCGTCAAAGCATGGGGTCGATGAATTATAATTCCCCGGTTATATTCATTAAATCCTTAAACCAGAGTAGCATCAAACCATATCAGAGACGTTCATTCTGCTCTCCGTCAGTCTCAAAAAGAATTTTAAAAACGATGACGTTGTGATTCAACACAACTCACACGATAGTATTGTGCAAATTATTTTTCCGAATATATTATTTTTATTACTGATTCCTCTCTCCCTCTACAACTCGATAAATGACTCAGGAGAACAATTCGATTTTACTCAGGAACAATTTTACAATTGCCCCCTAGAAATAGGCGCATGCTTTCGAGTAAAACATGAAATTACTATTAATCCTTACCGCGGCCATCCCATTTTCAAATGAAAACCACTTTTAAAAAGTAGAATTCAGTAGACTTTGACAGTATTATAGCGATACGAAATACAAAACCCGTCAAAACTATTGATGTCATTGATTACTGGTGCAGAGGTAAAAACGATTACGTGTATTTCCTTTAAACTATGCGGAGCCCATGCAGTCCACCCTCGGGAGAGACAACAATTACTAAGCTACGATTTTCTACAGGTACAGTGCAAGTGAAAGTGGCTCGTCAGCATTTTTAACTGAAGTTGATTGGACTCAGGTTGACCACACATGGTCACCAAGTGCCGGGGGGGGGGTGGAGGGGGGAGGTCAGAACGGTAGACAAATGATCAGGTTAACTTTCTAGAAAAAAAAAATACTCCATAAGATGTAACAACAACTATAAAGAAACAAAACAAAAAACAAACAAAACAACAAACATACATCAAGGTGGGCAAGCCATCCGATTTAAAAGACCGAGGGTAACGTAACCTCTTTAAGTAGTACCACCATACCACTACACCACCCTTCGCTAAATTAACTGTGATGCTATACTGTGCATTGTCAGCATAATCTTGGCTTATTTGTACAAATTATTTACAAAGAGGTTATTGGTCACTTCATTTGCGACATTTTGGTTATTGACTTAATATTAAAAATCCTATACTTTGTGCCCATCTGTTTTCCAAACCTTTAACTTCATAAAATTATCATGCGTTAACCGATACAAATATTTCTCGAGCTCAAAACTTTACGAACTGCTAGTTAAATACTAGGTGAATATGTATGACTGGGTTTTTGGGTCTAATTTAAATTTGTTATAAGTTAAGAGAAAATGTAACATGGGCGACGATGAACGTGATCAATGACTGTAGTATTCATGCATTCAAATGAAATTAATGTAACTGTGTGTTACCTCCTCTTAGATTTACAAATTGTTTTTAAAATACAAAATATATTTTTCTACAAATTTTCTCCCTATTAAAATACCCTCTGTCATATGTTATTGTTCATATCTGTAATATCAATTAAGGAGCGAAAATTTTTACGCTGCGGATGCAACTAATTGACTTTCATTTTTCCTTGTCTCCCTGGTAACTGCCTCCATGGAAACAAATTGATTCGTTTCATTTTCTGGTGTTAAATGCTTCGTCGCTGGAAGAGAGGGCAGCAATTTGTCCACTGGATCAAACAGAGTGTTTGTGGGACCATATTCAATGAAGTCTTCTGAATCCAGATCATCAACAACTGACAGCAACACGCGGGAACGTACTAAAAGTGTTTCAAAATAGCACAAGTTGGTAGATTTCTCCTTAAATTATTAGCCTACATAGCTTCTTATCATCATGCTCTGAACAAGGTTTCTAGAGATTTAAGCCTGGAGTAACGCAAATGCTAGTCCAAGTTTTATTTCAGAGTATGGAGTTCATTGGGGGTTTCAATAGCGACTGATCCCGCGTTGCCAACATTCTCTTAGATTAAAAAGCTCTTAGATCTCTTTCATCTTGGAGAATTCGCCCCTATCCCTATCCCTAACAAAGCTTGGTGTTTTTGATAAGGAAATCATCTAGTCTTCCAAATCCTGTTTTTTTTTTTCCCCAAGGAAATCACGATTTTATTTTCAAAGGACTAACGTGCGCACGATGGTGTTATGGTAACTTCACTGCTGCTCACCTGAAGGCGTGCTGTAGTCGACACCTCCCTTACTAACCGCACTAGTTAATGACGGTAGGCTCACGCCAGTGGTCGAAAGAGGACTCCAGCTACCAAGAAATACAGCAAAGCAAAGCACCACAACCTATAGGATAAACCAAAACATGAGCTGTTTCCGAGAAGTCTCTCAAAATCGTACTGTAGTTTTCTCCAACAAAGCAAAATGAACTAAACTTCATGGACATGTGTGCGCGAATTCAAGCTTGACGCAGAAGCTTACACTCAGGTTTGCTTGCTATCAAGGGAGCGCAAGAGGGTGTATTCTAGAGTCAATGAATTCCTGCAGGTTGGTTAAAAAGGACCATGCAGATTAATTTCCGAGCGATTCAAAGTAAGAGGGTCCCTGGAAGACACAGTCAATCGTTTTGTATGACTTCATGGTACGTTTCCATTGAGGAGAATAGAACTAACAACAGAAACGTTCAGATAACCAGAAAAACCTGCCAAACAATTAGGGTTCCCTGCAACAATTACTACCCCTCTAAAGGGAGCCAGCACTAATATTCTTTGCCTATTTTTATGGTTTAAGAAAAAGGAGAACGGGCAGGATTTTCCAAGGGGAGGAAGGCTAGGAAGGGTTGGGTGTAATGGAGAGGGGAGAGGAAGGGTTGGGTGTAATGGGAAGGGGGGAATGGGGCGATCTCCGGCGTGCATCCTATTAGCTTTTCGGGATATTCTTCTTTTTCACCATAACATGCATCTCTTCTTGACAAAGGAGTAAATCTCTTGCACCGAAGAACATTTCTCTTCACTAGATCCTTGAGAGAGCTGGGCTGATTATATTAGCCGTTTAGATTTGAAAAATTCCACTTTTTGGTACTATGGTAACACGAAACTAAATAGTTCACAGAAATAGCCATGTACTGTTTAAGGAAAAAATTCATTAAATGGCACCTCACTAGTGCAATAGAATCTTACCATTAAACATGTACTAGTTTGAGTGGATCTAGCGCTGACTGCACGAGGAACTTTAGCTGCTATCAATGACTGAAGTTTTTGGAGTTGACTTATAAGTGATCTACAAGAAAGAAAAGGTGAACATATTTAAAGCATAGTTATAGTAATATCAAGTCTAAAATAGTGGCATCATAGCACACAGTATAAGTAAACAGACTTACCTATTTGTAGTCTCTAATGTATCAACTTTTTTGCGAAGTTCTAAGTTTTCACTTGCACAATTTTCTACTCTATAGAGACAAAAAGCGAAGAGGGAAATTCATTTTGTTGGTGATAAAAGCAAGTCAACTAGTTAATATTACAAATACAAATACTACAACAAATAGTACAAAATGATAACCCCAACGTTGTTTACCTTTAAATCCTCTTTACCCAAGAATGAAAATTGTTCTGACAACCCATAAAAAGTTTGAGTTTGTTTGTAGCAAATGCTATGAAATAAGCCCAATCAGCAGAATTTAATGATTTGAAGAAACCATGAAACCAACAACAACAACAACAAGAACAACAATCTTTATTTTTTTTTTGTACTCACTCTTGCTCAGAAAAAGTTACAACAAAGAGAATATTAAAAAGTATAAGTTAGAGTACAAACCAAGGCATAATTACTAAACCAAGGCATAATTATGGTTTTCACAAACACACCTCTTCTCAAGTGTTTCCATGTACTCCTTCTTTTTACGTCTACTCTCTTGCGCAGAAATCTAAATGGGTAAAGGTGATGAGTTTATAAACTGATGAATACTATACAGTGAATGCAAATATGGCATCCAAGTTGAATTGCCATTGTTCTGGACTCACTAGCCTCTCACACATGTGATAATCGTTTTGTGTTTCCATGTGAAGACGAGGTTAGTGAATCCAGAACAATGGCAATTCAAATTGGATGCCACATTTGTATTTGGTGTATATTTAACCAAAAGAACATGTATACAAATGATAATTGGATCACACAGAAGACGATATTAATGGGTCTTTCAAAGGTTTAAAAAAATCTACACACAGAAATAAAAATACCATAATGATTCAATTTAGCACACTCGATTTAATAAGGGCCCCTATTGGGTAAGCATCCTCATTCCAGTAAGTGACCATATTTCAATAAGTGCCCCTATTGTGTTTCAGTGATAGCACTGGTGGAGTATAATTATGTATATTAAGATCACCTATGGTTCATCTTTGTTTAATTGCTCGCTTATAGCTTTATTACAAAAACAGTCAAAGCTCTGTTTTGCACATTCTGTCTGTCCTCAAAAAAGAAACAAGCACCCTGTCCCTATCAACACCCTGTTTTGAATAAGGTATCAAAAGTAAATAAGATCCCCAAGTGTTAAAACAAATAATTATGGTACAATGACTACAAAACTATAATTGACTCACGCATGCTAACAAGCAAACATTACATTTGGAAAGAAAAGGAAAACTCTCAAACACTAGCATGAAAATAAACATACCTTATTTTTAATTTTACGTCGAACTTTTTTCAAGGCTCTCTCTTCAATCTATCCCAATTTAAAACAAAAAATTAATGTTATAAAATGTAGGAATAAAGCCTAGTTTTGTTGCTGGAAAGATCTAGTGAGGATCATGATGATAACAACAATAATGATCAACACAATATTATTATTTAGGCAACGTGCATCTTTTAAAAGTGATAAAAAACTAGCTTCCTCTTGCACTATCCAACTCAGAAGAACAGGAAGTCAAGTATTGAAAGGTATTACAGAATATAAAAATTGACAAAGGGATAACCAATGATTGAGAGAATGCTCAAGTTCAATTTGTTATTGGTTTGTGTCTGCATGTAATTTTATATACAATTCATTAGTATATACGAAAGCCAGTAAATATTTTTCTTGACTGTTGCCCAGCTGTCATGAAATGTGTCAAGGAGCATTATTTTCTTTAACTGTATAATTTAAAACACTAGGAGAAAGCACTAAAGTGATCCTTACAAGGTAAGAATATTATTAACAAAACATTACTAAGCCTAAATACACGTGTATAGCAATTTAAGAATTTTTGTTAACGCCAAAAGTAGAGAGGGGCTTTCTTCAACCTCAAAGCTCCTACTGTATGGCTTTCAGAGGAAGGGGGTTTGCTTTATCTAAATGTAGTTCCTTTGTACGTACCTTTGTAAGGGGAAGGCCAGTTGGTACTGGTAAACCCTCTGCAATAAGGGTTCTTCTCTCTTCATCTGTTAAATAAAAAGGTTGTTTTTCTTGGGGATGCTACAAAATGAACAGAGACAAAGGAGGACTTGGTAAGAACAGAATTTGTACATTACTTGACTGACAGGCCAGGCACTGGGCCAAGAAATAAAAAGAATAGATACATGCAATAAATGTGCATAACATGTATTTATATATAAAACTTCACAAGTTTGCATGCTCTGTGTACCTAGATAGCACAGTGGATGTACCTATTCCTCTTGAGTCTGAAAGTATCACATTCCAGCCCTGACTTTATCAACTTTTTTTTTTGTCTTAACCTTTCTTTTTTGTTTTTACCTTTAAATTAACATCTCTCATTCTACTTCAAAGAATATGTTAGAGTAAAATGCACATGTGAGAACCTTTAACGATGTAGCTTTTACATTTAAATTGATAACAAAGTCCAAATGCAGATATTTTACCCAGAATAAATATCAAACTAAACCCAACAAAACCAAAAATGAATCCAAAGAAACCTGATCAGATTCTTTCATCAATGACCAGTGTCAGAGCTAAACCAGGACAAGTCATAAGAGATGTTATGCATATATTATAGTCTGCCATTTAAAAACCACAAGGGGCTTGGGGAAAGGTTTTACAGACTCGAGTGACACCATAACATAACATTCCTAAAAGGAAGGCAAAGTAGGCACAATAGGCACAAAAACATCTCAATCATACATCTCTATATAAACAATGCAGCACAGATAGATGAACCAACGTACAAGTTTTGAAGTGACAAGTTTAAAAAAGGAGACAGACTTCACTGAAAAAAGTAATATTCAAAATTGGACATGTACCCTGTATCATACTCTCCAAACCAAAAATACAGAATAAAAAAGATTCTTGTCAGATGAATACTGCATTGCATTGAGTTCAAAATTTTTAGAATAATTAAACTGATAAAAACTAAATTGAACAATTATGAAAATGAAAAGATTAACCCTCACTACCGAGACCTGATTGTTGATATTCTCCTTTTGTTGCCAACACATTTCCTTGTCAATCAGTTGTGAGAATTTGGTGTTAGATTAAGACAACAAAATTTACTTGATAATTTTAAATCTTCTTGTTATCTGTTTGCTTGATATTGTATGGATAATAAGGAGGGAGTTAAAAGATTGAAGCAAAGTAAGAATGATCAGGCCCTTACATGAACATGTGAAGTTCCTCTTTTCAATGTGAAAAATTAGTTTGAAGGTGTACCTGGATAATAGGCAATGTTGTTTCTCCTGTGTTGGATCTTGACATATCGCAGTCATCTATGATATGAGGTGGTGTGTTTGCTGTGGACTGGGGGGAGCGAGAACCAGAGTCATAACCTACAAAGAAAGTTATCAAAACCTTAACAAGTTACATCACCAGAAATCTACTTAGTTCTAAACTAAAAACAGCAGAGTTCAACAGAAGAGCTTTCTGGGATAAATTTAACTTGAATAAAATACATGTTGCTAAGGAAGAAATTGGTAGTCAGATACTGGTAATTTTGTTTTATGCATATACGTTTTAAATGACCGAAAAGATGACAAGAGAAAAATTGGAAGACATGGTTCCTATGGCAACATATTGCTCATTCTTACAACTGCTTTTTTCTATAATTAATGTGTAGCAACTTCTTTCCAGCTTCCAAGAGAAAGAAAAGAAAAATTTAATTTTTTTCCATATTCCAGGGTCTAAAAATTCATTATTAATCTTTAGAAACAGATGAGACAGCATCAGACATAAGTATTGTTAAGCTTTAAAGTGCACCTAAACACCAAAATTTTTTTCGCTTAGTGAAATAAGCTTATTTTTTAGAGTATTTCTGTGCAAAAATTTTTTATTGCTTAAATCTTTAATTTTCTGTTCCCTGTCAAAATACGGAAAATTGGCCGCCATCTTGGCTCACGACTGAGTTTAAAGAGGAATGGTTCTAGTGGGTAATGTGACATCAAATCGAGAACACGAAAGTCTGCATTTCACACATTTTCACTTGTTTGGGAAGGTTGTTGTTGATATTGTCTGAAATATGCCGACTATGAGTGTTGTATGAGGAATGCATGAAGCGCAATACCCTCTTGCAAATTTTGCACATTGCTACATCCTCCTACAACACACTTAGTCGGCATATTTTGGGACAATATCGACTACACAACCTTCCCAAACAAGTGAAAATGTGTGAAATGTAGACTTTCGTGTTCTTGATTTGATGTCACATTACCTGCTAGAGCCATTCCTCTTTAAACTCGGTCGTGAGGCAAGATGGTGGCTGATTTTCCGTATTTTGACTGGGCCAAGAAAATTGAAGATTTGAGCAAATAAAAATTTTTTCCACAGAAATACTCCAAAAGATATGCTTATTTAGTTAAGTGAAAAAAAATTTTTGGGTTTAGGTGCACTTTAAGAAAGGGAGTAAATATGGATCTTAACAATGGTTTATACAATTAAAAGTGCTTGGTATTTTAAGGTACTAATGATAGTTAAAAGAGAGAAAAGGTGGCAGAATCACGCACAGTTTAATATTCAAAGAATGAAATTATTATTTTGCAGGATGTGACTATCCTTTATACTAAAACTATTTTGATAACAACCTTTAAGAATCTATGCTTTAAATATTTTTTTTAAGAACACAATAAATGCTGGACAGTTAAAAGGGAATAGATAATTTGATGCTATTTTAATTTACTCCTTGCAAAATAATCTGTTTAGAAGACAGCTTCTTGCATGCGCTGTTTCAGTAAGTTTATTAAGTTTTTCTTATGTCAACATGCTTACTTTTATTGACATAACCATTTTGTTAAAGACAAATTTTTGGAAATTCATCATTAAGAATGAGACAAGCTTAAAAGTTAAATACATCATCTTTGATTACTCAGCTTCTGTTCTATCAATTAAAAGTAGACTGAATTTTAATCAAACTAGTGCCAAGCAGAAAATTATTTTCTTAAAGAATGATTACACCAACTCCAAACTTTCACCAAAGCTGCTCTTTTTAATGTGTATAAATGTTCCATGTTCTTTTTTAGTCCCTTGCCCTTCATACAGACAGATACAATATACAGATGTAACTCAAAAGAAGTTTTCCTTTGTCAATAGGTACTGTACCAAATTGTAAAATTCCCCAAATGAAAACAATGTCTTTCTAAAAAAGAGAACACCTAAAAAAAAAATCCTCTGCTTGGTTTTCACAGTCTGATAAGAAATTCTTCCCACTTTAGTTTAATGTCAGCTGAATGGATGCTTACTGTAAGTTCTACATGCTCTGAGAGTCGCAAATTCTGATTGGATAGGCAGCGTAGGATGAAAATACCCATCACCAGAAGCTGAATAAAGAAAGTACATGTAAGAGATGGTTTGCCGAGTGTCAACACGTTTACATTTGTAAAGTACATTTATGTTTTCATGGTAAGAAATGTGTACCTGCACATAACAAAAGCTGTAAGAAAATTAAAAAAAAGAAACAACATTTTGTTCTGATTCCAAGTACACAGTGATCAATGTTTTTGTTGCCATACCTACTTTAAATTCTAGAAAAGTCATAACTAAATTTAATTCTATAAAATCCCTAAAAAGCTTTAAGGAAAAGATCATCATCATCTGCTCACCACTTATAGTTACAGTGGCAAGACCAGAAGAATGGGAGACTGTTTTCAATGGGAGACACTAACACATTATTTTGGGGGTAAAATGTAGAAACTCATCAGCACCGACTTCCTTATCAACTCTTATGAATTAGGCCAGAAAAGGATGAGAGGTAAAAGAAGGATTATTGTCGCATAAAAGGAAAACAGAAAAAAGGTAGAAGTTGCTAAGCAGTGTTCACATCAACAGCACTGTACAACACAACGGGTATATTTAAAGTATATGAAATACAGTGGTGAAGGTTGCCAAATGGATATCAATTTTTCAGTCATCCTCAAAGATTTTCAAATTATTTTTCTCAGTTTTGAGAGAGAAGGAGGGGACAACAGCTTCTCTTGATCTGAGGGTGATTAGCGTACCCTTCAGGGAGTAGATCTGTTTCTGTCTTTGTTCCGTGACATTGCTTTGAGGGAAAGCAAATCACTTTGTCCAAAAATAAAATCGACTATTTCCTAACTAAAATAAAAGAGCAACTTTAAAAACATTTGTTTTGTCTCAGTCAGAGCAATCTTGGATTTTGCTCCTCCCCACTTTCCCATTTAAAGGCCACCCACAAATAGGGTAAACGTTTTGAGGACTTGAAATTTTAAGAATGAGATTTAAGCTTTATCAAAAATGATCTTTAAACCTTTATCAAACCAAATTGTTCATTTTGAAAAATAACGTCTTTACCATTTTCCCACCCGCATGGGAGTCTAAAAGAAATTTACGGTGACCGAAATCACTTAGTTGCAAAATGCTTTTAACAACAATCTGAGTCTACCGTAATGTTAAAAGATGTAGGACACAGCTTAAAATTTACACAGCTGGTACTAAATTAAGCTTTAGTTCTAAGTAAAGATGGCACGAGGTAGTTAATGAGTAAGAACTGCATAAATCTCACGCCGAAGTGAACAAAGAAATTGATAGAACCTTCGGACAAAAAAATAGAGTAGTAACAGAATTGTCTCGATCAATCGTCTGGACAAACCACGATTTTTTTTTTGCGAGATCTGGACCGTATGCCACAAACATCAAATATAATATGACTAAAATAACTAAATAAAATAATAAAAATCAAAATTTCGGTTTCAAAACAGATCGGATCTCTCATCAATGAATTTTTACGAATCTAGAATGTAACTAGGAAAAGGTTCGTAATTCACGAGAAACATTTCTGTTCCCATGGAATCTGAAGCACCCACGAAAAAAGTCTAAGTGATAGTGATATCAAAGAAAAATAGAAAATAAGCCAGAGATAAATGAAAACTAAGAGAGAAAGAGTCATTCAGGTAGCACAAAATAACCTTGTTTAGTGGAATCTTTGACAGGGTATAACTTGATACAGTTTATCTACATCTTGTAGTTCAAAGATCATTTTCCAGACAAGACATAAAGCTGTAAGTTTACCTGCTGAATCGCTCATGTCTCAGAAATTCAAGCCCTACTTTGTTTATATGGTCATATTTGAGAGTGTTGAGAACACTAGCCCGTTCTTTTCTTCCAAATTTCATATATTTCTGGAAAAAAGAGAGGCGCTTTCCTGCCCCTTGCTAAGGGGAAGTCACACAAATTTGAGTCATGTGAGAAACAAAGGGATCCGTATTTACCAACACGAGATAAAATTTTAATGTCTTCCTCATGGTTTAAGACCCATTTGTTGTTTACAACGCCATTACAAGTCTCTTAGAAAAGAAAATCATAAAATAAAAGACAGAAGAAACGGAAGTGCTGCGAGGCTCGTTTCGTGACTTACCAGATTCACTGTCAATCCGGTCGGAGTCGTTTTCGGAATGAGGCGAGTCTGGTAAACTTTTTTGTCCGTCATTTGGCTCGAACATTTTCAGCTCCGTCGGTTCTAATCGACTGTTTATCGGTGGTGCGAAGTTTTCTTGGGGTTCGAAAAGAGCGTCCCTGCCAAACAAATGTGGCTTCACATCGGTTTCCAGCGGGGACGAATCTATCGAGGCGGGTGAAAGAGGCTTATAGTCTGGTGTGTGGGGAACTGAAGGCGTTGAGCAATACAGCGACTCGTTGGAGCATTCCTCTGGTAGGCTAGGCATCGTATCCATACTTAAGCCATTCAAACTTAGATAATGTGACTTCCCAAGCGAGTTGTATGATAAGCTACTTGATGTGTACTCTGGTAGAGTGTTGCTGTAGTTCAAAGTCGAGTCGCTACAGGAAGAAACCTCGTCAAAAAATCCTGATAGCCAGTCCACGGGAACTTCTTCAGAGCAGGAGTGCTACACAGAGAAAGCAGGAAACGTAAGTAAAAGCACACAAATAAACTTTACATTGAGACAGTAATTTAAGTGATTTTACTACGAGGCGTATGAATGGAATCTCCACTCACCACTGAATGGAAGCTTGTGTCGTGAAAATCATCTGACATCATGTTGTCGAATATCCCGTGTTCAGACGAAAAAGGCTCGTCAAATCCCGGCTCCTTCTTTACTATACTTAAATCTAAAGAGGAATGCTCCATGACGAGAAAATACTGTGAGAGGAGTATACGGAGACCTACAGACTACCGTCCCACAGCAGTCATAGAATTTTATGTGACCGGTCTTTTGTTCACCCGCGAGAGAGAGTACTAGCCACTGTGAAATAATTATCACCATTGACCAATCAGAGGCTGTAAACTCATGCATTATAACCCAAATTTGGAAAAAAGAAAATATTTTACCATAATTAAATTAACATAAATTTCCGTCTCACAGGTGATTTCTTGAACTTGCTGGTATGTCCATAAAGTGACAGTGGGCGAAAACGCTCATGATTGGTCGGTCGACTTTGTAAATATTCAATCATTTAACAATTGCTCCTTTCAAAATTTAGACAGACAAAAACATTGCTTAAATGGAGAGTTCGTATCTATGAAACGTTACAGCAAGGGGAAAAAAACAATAGCAGATAAATCTTTTTTTTTCGTTTTCACAGAATCTCTATTCTCATAAATCGACAGGCGCAGATGAAAATAGCAGTAAAAAATAACGCTGTTAACATCTTGGAACTGTAAATTCCTAAAATTTTCACATACATTGCCTGTAAAATAGTGAGTGTAACAAAGTTAGAGAGTTTTACTTTAATAACCGAATGATTAATAACCTGATGTCATGAGCGGTTAATATTGGATAGTACTTCTGACGGCAGAGAACAAAACATTACAAAAATACAAACATAATATAATCGAAGACGAAAATCAAATGCAGAACACGTGGGTGTTTAGTAGGGGGCTTCTTGCGTAAGAAGACTAACGTGAACTTCGCACTATCAATATACTGAAACGGAACTCTGTTGTGGTCCAACCGCTAAGTCGGAGAATCCATCTCTCATCAGCAGTGGTGCTTAGTTGGGGTTGAGGGAAAAAACGGCTATTATTTTCAGAATTAGGATGAAATGCGTATTTTGATGATATCGCAGACACTCCAGTCGACAGAATAGTGGCGGAATAAATCGGGCTACGGATGTGATCAATCGATGTTCGGTTTACGAAGCTGTGCTTGTTTGGTGAACGTTCATCGTCTCAATTTATTGTTTTTAGAACGACCATTTAAGTATCTCATATTGACCCTGAGTGACAAGCATCGCTTGAAGTCGTGTGTAGCATACGAGCAAGAAACCAGCGATAAAAGTAGCTTATATACTATTTAAGTGGCATTTTATATAGTAGTTAATTTCTTTATAATTGTCGTTAAAATAAAATGTTCATAAATGTTACTAAAATGTTATGATTTTAGACGTTTCTCTGTTGTTCAGCTCTGAAATTATACTAAAACAATTATTCGCCTCAGGTTCGGTGAATATTGTCGAATAATCCCCCCGACTTCGTCTCGGGGATTATTCGACGATATTCACCTCGCCTTCGGCAAATAATTGTTAAATATTATTGCGGTTGAAAATCTAACGTCAAGAGATTAATATCGGCCCCTCACAGAATTCGCTCATTTTGAAGTCGTTATCACTGAGCATTTGATAAGAAAAATAACAAAAAAACAAAACAAAATGAAACAAGAAAAAACCAATTGCAGACACTTCTTTCAGAAGATCTTTCTCCCACTCAAAGTCAAATACAGCGATTTTATTATCAAAGCTACTTTACTTTGTCTCTCCTCGACAAACGTGAAAGTACTTTTTCGTTTTATGGATTAATTACGTTTAAGTGCCCTGTGAGGAAATATTCCTTTTCCACTCAGTTCATGCATGCAACGGAAAAAGTTAATCAGTGTCTCCGTACAGGAAAGGAAATCGATATTTTTTCCTTTCATAAATCATCTTTGACTTTCATCACTTCAGTAAACATACAAAGAAAAAATTTTCATAATTGCCATGTGGGAGATTGGATGCGTTTTTAAAAATACTTCCCTGTTGGATCTTTAAAAAAAAAGTAAATTTTTCTTTCTTTTAATTTTTTCTAGGTTGGCCAGTTTTGCCCAGGCTATCGTCCACCAGACACGACAATAAAAATGAGACAAAATTTCGCCGTACCGTATCGATCATTCGTGCTAAGACGTCTCGCCTTTATTCGCCTTTGAATCCTGTTACACAGAAAATAAGCGACAATATAACCTGAAACCTGTAAAAGATTAATAGGGACAGGTTTATACCGATAACCAAGTTTTGAAATTTCTATACAGTCTTCACTGGTGTCTGGAGAAACTCTGTGTTCGTAGGAGACATAGCAGCAAAAATCATGTCTGTATACGTACATGTATTGTTTCGGAGGATCTTTATTACAAAACTGTAATCCTTTACGGATAATAATATTTAGATTGACTTGAAGGAGTTCGAAAAATAGGAACAGACGTCAAAGTCCAATGCGAACGTCACTTAAGATTAGCTAATGGCTTTAATTCCTTTGTTTACATAGAATGACGCACAGAAGTGGTAAAACTGTCGCAAGCTTAGATGATTTAAATGAATCTACAATTTTAAAATTAACCGGGAGAACATAACCTGCGTTGCAGCCGGACATGTCACACAATCCCCGGTATAGTCCGTGTCTATACCGGCGGTTTAGACTGCCTGCGACGCAGGCTAGGAGAACAAAGTCCCGTTTATTTTCTAGACCACCTTTCCATAGTACATTTTAATTCAGTTTGAGTCGTTGAGCCCGGCGGACTCAAATTAGTTCAATATCAACAGCCACGGCCCATGAGAAAGTCTCGAGAAACCTTTTAACACTCAGTCATGTTTTCATTACATAAAAACTCATACTTTGACCTTGCAAAAAGAAATTTGTCCTTTCGGTTTGAAATACCACCCAGCGAGAGTCCTTATCTCAAAGCGCATGCGTGGACTCCCCCAAAGGAATGCTGTCTTCCAGTGATCACAGAATCTCTGAGATCAGGAACAACGTTAGTATATGTGTCATGATACCTGGAAAAATATCAACAGAAAACAAAGTCAAAAGATACCCTGACCCTGCACTAGCATGAACATAAAACAGGGCCTGTAGTGTTCCGGACGCTTAAATTACCTATCAAGATTTGAAAGGAAACCCGCGCTCAGGTTGATCTCTTAAGCAGATTTCCCAAGACTTTGTAGGATGCCCGGCTTTATGAAAGATAACACACAAAGTCCAGGTGAACTTTAGTGTACGTAACGTTCCTTTGACGCGCGGAATGGGACGGAAGCAGCTCATATTCAGCTAACTTCTGTGCATTTTAGGATTATTTCTACTTTGCTTATTTCTTTGCAAAAATTGAAGAAAAACTGAAAATAATATCCTCCAGGGACTTTTATAGTTGAGAAAAATCCACAAGTGACGAGCTCTAAGCTATTTCCAGCATTAATCAATATTGATGTAACATTTGATTAATGTGAATTCTGGTATTGAAATTTTTTATCACATAATAATTGATTAACACGATAGATAGAAAATAAGAAGCAGGATCAACTTGAAAAAGGAAAAGGCTGGTGTCTATGTAATCTCACATAGTAACCGACAACCTACGGTATGCCTGTCATGCCTGTCACGTCTGTCACGAAATGCAATCTTAACAAATACGAGTAGTTGGTGAGAAGCCATACAAAGAAAAGAAATTAAGAGAGGGGCACGTTTTACCTTACTTTAAGAAATCGAAACACGTTTAATGTGCCAGCAAGTGAAAGGAGATTTGCCAGAGCACGACACCAGAGGCCATAACGACAAAAAAGATCTAATTAACAAAAAATACGCTCAATTTCCCAATGTGGAGTGTGTTGACAAGTTCAGCGTTTATTCAAAGGACTGTTTCTTTGTGACGTACCTTCTATGTGCATCTGTTTTAAAACGTACTCCCAACATCCTAGTGGCGCAATGTTTCTTCGACTGAGGCTTATGAGATTGCTCAATCACCTTCTCTCGTCCAATCAGGGGAAGTGTTACGTAATCAACGCCAGCCGAATGTTTGACCGGGACAAGACCAACACGAACGGATCGCATTTCCTTCAAGTTCTTAGTCTCCGGACTTGAAAACTTAAGGTGCTTTGGATCTTCCAGACCCAGAGAGCCGTATCTATAAGCAGTGAATGCAGGGACGTACTGATTTGTAAATGTGACATGTTTCTTGGTGTGGCGTTTTGTGAACATAGCGTCCAATTGCAAACATTGCGTAGTTTGCTCTCCTAAGACACGGTTACAGTTGTAAGTGTTCTGTGACTGATCTCGTTTTGAGAAATCCAGCGGGCTATATAGAGGGAGTGGAATCTTAGGGTAGTTAAGCGGCGTTTTTCTCATATTGTTAAGTCCAACTGGGCAAATGGGCCACACAGCCGATGATACAGACTCATTTGCCACCTTTTTGCCGTCGAGTTCTTCCTCATTGTTACGCTCCCAGTATTCTTTGCTCTCCTACAACATAAAATAATAGAAAATAGAGACGAGAAGCCATAAGAAGTCAGACTGCCTGGACTTGAGTAGTTCTTTAAAATTCAAACCAGAACAGGAAGAATACCAGAGTATGTGGGCATGATTTTTCGTTTTGTCGAACTCGGTCAGATCCTCCACGGAGAATTTTTCAAACAGGAAACCAAGGAAATTTCAGGAATGCCAAGAAAAAAAAATTAAATTCATTAGTTCATTTACCTCTGTCTCGTTGTCCTCTTCGTCCTCCTCTCTTGATTCGTTTCTATTCAACTCTTCCTGGTCATTTATTTCCCAGGTTTCTAATCCAGGCGTTATTTTGTTCTTGTTTTTTATCATTGTAAGATCTGTGAGCACTGTGGGGCTGGGTTTAGGCAATTCCTTCATGTTTTCTTGGTATACTGAGGTGCGATATATCCTCTTAGATAATTTCTCCAACGCCTCTTCTGTTGCAGGGTTCAATTTCTGTAAAAACAAATGGTATAGTAGATCAACTACGGATGAGATGAAGATAAGCTTTGGGCCTGAGCCCTCTTTAAATTTTTGAGAGATTTATACTGATCAGTTTGTCGTAATCTGTAACCGTCGTAATTTTCATCTACCGCTATCATTCAGCATTCTTGAACATTCTAATTGGGTTCCTTTCGGCACAAATAACTTGTTTAACGTAGTAGTAGTTGTTGTTAGTATATACTAAAACAGTGGATAGCGTTGAAGGCGCGCTCTGATTGGCTAGTCAAACTCCGAATATCCTTTGCTATTTACCTCCGAGCAACTCGGGAAAAAATGGTGTCCCGGTTTGCATCCGTGACAAGCGAAGAAATCACTCAAATTAACGACGGTGGTGTATATTATCTCACTGTTTTAGTATATACTAAAACAACTATTCACCTCAGTGTCGGTGGTTAGCGCTAGGGGGCTGGAGGGAGTGAAGTCGTTCGAGTTTCTTGTTTCTTTGGGCTTATGTATCTAGCTAACCTCGCATGCCTCGAGATAATTCCAAGACTTATTTGAGGCATCCATAGAAAAACAACACTAGAATCAAGTGATCAATAAAAAACTGACAGAAAACAAAACTAACAGTGTAACTGAAGCTTTAATAGAGGTCCAAGCCACGGTGATAAAACGATCCTCAGGGGTACAGGGGAGGGTGGGAAGAAGTAAACATCAAATACAATTTCTAAACCAAAGAATCAGACTTTGATAATCATACCATCAAATTGTGTGCGCACACTGTCAAATCTTGGAAAAACGTCAAACTGACAAATGTGAGATGTGTAAGGATGTCCGAACCACGGTTCGTCCAATTTCCTAAGTCTGTTATGAGGAAGAAAGGAAAACATGATAGAAACACGAAAAGGCCGGGTTCATTCAAAATGTCTTGCATTTGCGAACTCAAGTATTGTCTAAAAATTTGTCACACGAGTCCCCAAGCAGTAACTGGATGGTTTTGTTTAGGCTACCATATCAAAGCTGGCGAACGTGCAGTGTTGGGAATAGCCACCTCAACTTTAGTCAAACTTTTCTGTGTGTTTGTTGCGTGGCTACATTTTAACATTAATTACTACTTACTCAGTGTTCAAGGGAGCTGGTAAACTATAAGGAAACAGAAAACAAAGAATGAATTGCACATTTTATTCTCTTGTTACTCAGCTCAAAATAAAGATAATTTTTCGCCACCTACGGCTTAAACTGAAAATAATTTTTTAGCATTATTCATAATCTGCTGATCAATAAACATAGTAACCGCCTTTTTTGACAACACCAGGAGCCCATTACCTGACAATACCCAATCTTTTTTAATTAAGGCGGCTACGAGAGGCGCATATATACTTTGCACATGGAAGTTATCATTTATATCAAATCCTGTGCACCGCCCAGGTTTGGCACCTCGCGATCGCTTCGCAATTTCAAGTCTGTCTGATTTGGCACATCATCTCATCTTCCCCTTCACCCTTTCCCTCGGTTTTTAGGCCCATGTTCCTGTTAACAAAAAGTACATACGGTTCTCCTGGATATGAGCCCCCCTCAGGAGAGCTAAGAACACGATTGAAAATGGTGTCGTAAAACCTAATTCAAAACCGATAAATGTTAAACTTATTTTGATCAGCACCGCTTTTTTTATTCCGCCTTTAGGCCCCCTTGGATACAAGCTCCTCTGTCTAGATCATAGGCCCTTCTAAAGCCCCTTACTAAAAGTTGTATAAACCGAAGGCTCGTAAGCGGCAGCTTACGGTATATCCAAGAATTCCACTCCAGGAACCTTTATCCACGAAATATTTTTTATCTAGATTTATCAAAAACTATTAAAACCACTTACAGCTGATCATTCATCCTGCATCCGCTAAGAGATAGCGACGTAACAGCGTAAGGTTGGGAGCATGCACGGCTAAAAAAGATCAGTAAGATATATTTTATTTACAATGTTTGAATCGATTGAATCAGTTTAAACTCAGTCTTTAGAAGTATAGCAGCGAACATTAAAAAATTTGGCTGAGTAAATATCAATTTTAAATCCAGAAAAATCGAGCTTGATCGTTCGTCTTCAAGTTGATCCAGTGAATTAGAGTCGATGTTACCTTATGACATTTAGCATCTCTTGACTTTTAAACCCAACTGTGCCAGAACTAGGGTTACCGTTCGTAACCGTGGAAATTTCTTGTTTTGAGTTGTTGTACCTTTCGGTACGTCGAGCAGGCGTATGAAACACTTTCTCACTGAACGCAAAGGGATTTTTTATAAGATTCAGTAAAGCCCTATAGGAAGAACCAGGCTGTTTATTACCAGGAATCACATGATAAACAAAAAACATAACGAAGTTATTACGTCAAAAGAAATTATTCCATCAATGGCAACACTTGTATGGACTGTGGTCTGACTGACTGAAAATGAGGGTGATTCTCAATACAATAGCCCATCGTGTTAACAAAAAAATTATTGAGACCAACAGATTATAAACTGTCTTGTTGATAATTAGCACGATAATTGATTTCACCTACTAGGTATTGACTCCACTGGAGTAATGTTTGTGGCTGCGACTTTTGACGACGTCAAAGTTAACTGCACGGGGAGTTTTTTTTAACAAAGGTAGCTTTGCTATACCTCCATATTTGGTGCTTTCGGATCCCCAGCTTCGGAAAACCCTATTCAGATCCTTAAAATGTTAGCAGTGTCTACACCACAATTTTCAAGTGCATTTACTATGGCATCTACGGCACTTCTTCTGTCTACATGACAATATAATCAAAGGTTCAAGTAAAAATGCAGAGGGTTGCTCTGCGCACGTATCATTTCTTTCATCCAGGCTATAAATAGTAGCGCTACTATCACTGACCAAGTTCACTTGCATTCGAACCACACTATTTTTACATGTCTGTGACATTTCTGAGACATTCGCTCCGATGAAGGGCTAACGCTCGAAACGTCAGCTTTTGTAATCGTTACGGTGGCCAACTTACCATTTCAACTTTGTTGATATATCCAAATTATTTCAGAGACTAACTTACCCTACAGAAGAAGTAGTGACTTTTCTCGGTATTGCTGGGGTAAATAGATCCGAAGATAATACCGTCGGAGAAATTTGTACTTCGCTACTTTCTGAATTATAGTTTAACATACTTTTACAATCAGAAATGTTAACCGATATCAAATTAGTATCATTATTGTGACGTCATACAGTTTTAAGTATCTTAATGCTTCATCTCTCTGCAACCGATGGTAATTAAAATTGTTTGAATTTTTTTTTCCACCGAGAAAGAGAAAACTTTCAAGAAGTAAAATTATAAGGGGTCAATTAGTACTGTGAAGTCATCCACGGAAGAAGGTTTAACTGCGACCAGGAGTTCTTAGACGTCAGTGAAATCTATCGTCGCATTACGACCAATACTAGGAAGCTTTTCGTGTTGATATTAAATAATAATAATAAAAAAGTTGCCTGTTAATTTTGATACCTTTAGTTATCTTAAGTGCTGAAATTTGCTATTTTCACCATCCGAGGTCCAACTTTCCCAGCAAGCAAATCGCTAGATTCTGTTGGATCCACAAATCCGAAGAGTCTTTCTGTCGACTCTTTCCTATTTTGAGAAGGTCGAGCAAAGTATTGCTACCTTGCGGAAAGTACCAGCATCCTCTTTTCAGCGTGACACCGGAAGGAAACAAGGAACCAGGCCAACTTCACCCATTCTTTTCTTTAGGATTTAATGAATTTGAATTGTATCTTTTAACATTACCCCAATGAAACACTACGCACAATCGTTTGATTTCTTCAAGGCGTTTCCCGCCATTAGTTACCAGTTTGCTCCTGTCAGCGGTATTCATTCAATGTTGTCAAACAAACATGGTTGACAGAGGATGAGAGTATCAAGATTTTGCTTCGTAGTTTACCTGCAACTTTTGTTCCTTTTCGTAGATTTATTCATTAATTCGTTTGGAGAGCTCTTCCGAACTGCAGATGTCGTCCTTCTTGTGTTGTACATGTGAGTAACTCAACACTATCGAGTAAACTTTCTCTACGGGTGTTTAAGCGGGCATTTCCGACTCCAAAATTTTTTTTTCCTCTGCAGTCGATGATCGCTAGTGTTACTTTTCTTGAGTAAACTTCTTACTCGAGGCAGGTAACCTTGATTTCTATTCAGAACATTTAAACGGTGCTTTATATTTTGGGGCGATGTGGTGTCCCTTGAAAACCGCATATAGGTATGGTTTTTCAAAAGTCGAGTTTGCATGTTTTTACGAATGATAACTTCTGGATGTTATCAGATGCGTCAGTGGAAAATTTCCGATTATTTTTTTGTTATTTATGTCAGCAAAACAACCGGTTCTGTTCCACTTTATCAACAAGCATACAGTCAATTCTCGTGTGGTCACGAAGGCTTGAACATTGTGTAAGAGTAAAACATTTATGCATGTTATGTTGAGATCATTCGTAGTATTTCCTTAACTCCTGATTGACGCACGAACGGATTACTGTTCGATTACTCACTCTGAATGTGGCATCGTCAGATTAACAACTTCAAGGTTGAGAATAAAAAGCGAAAATGTCAAAACTTTGTGAGAAACGAGTAGAAAGTTGTAAATATTCATGGAGATAATATCGCCAACAGCATTGTCTAAATTGATTGATTCCAGAGGGGAATTTATAAATTTTGACCATTTTACCGAAATCGTTGGTTCGAATCACGCTAGCGTATGTTGTGATCACGTATGTTCTTCTGACAACTTTTATCACTGTTTTAGGTTTGTTTTTATCAGAGACGGATCAGAATTTTATGATGACTTCTTTTTCAGCTTTGTGCGATTCAAGAACGTGCATAGTCATCCACATGTTCAGCTGTTTTGATCTGATTTCTTCAACACTACTAAAACGTTATTCTGTTTTTATTCCATTTACTCCTTCTAACTATCGTTATGATCTTGACCTAAAACATTTTTTTCTATATAATGCACAACATAAGGTTTTAGCAGACAGGTCTCTTTTTCCCTAGAGTCTCACCTTTCTTAACTTATTTTGCTAAATGGTTTAAGTCTGACCTTTAATACCTCAGTTTGTATTTGACACTGTGATATGACATAGAAGTAGATACTTGTGAATTGAAAATAGCTTGAAGGTTAAAATTTTGAAACAGTAGCACCTTATTAACCTGTCAAAAATATTATTTTTAGTGTCCTTTTACAAATTTAGCCCTTTGAGACTACACAGAGGGAAGAAAGAAATTTTGCATTTTAATGTCCAATTTCAGCCTGAATCTAACTGATTGGCATGCTGGACGTAATCTTTTCAGAAGTAGTTAACAATGTTCACTGAGCCCGAGGCAAATCATTATTATAGTACTTTTGTTCAGAGGTTGTATAACACTGCTCAGTTGATAAAACTTTATCCATTAGATAGCACAGTATGTTTTGCTATCACATATCTGCTGGATAGCAATTTATCCATTAGATAGCATTATCTGTCCTTTTTATAACTAGGCCCTGGTGATTATCAAGACAAAAAGAAATATTCTATATTATTTCTTTGCTTCCAATTTATTGAACATCAAAGAACAGAGACACAGGGTCTGGCTTTTCAGTCACAACATCCACTTATAAATTACATGACTGAAGCAAAAACTGATTTAATTCTAGATGATATCGAGTGGTCATGTCAGCATTCATGTGCAAGTATTAAACAGGCTTAAAATTTCTGATATGAAGCCTATTGCAATCAGTTCAATCTGAAAAACGCCCTTCCTGTAATCTCCTTGCACAGGGTGATTATTGGAAGATTGATGCAACTGTCGACCAGTAAGACTGCACGCATCTCTGTAATCACCTGAGCAATTTTACTTAACTCCTTTATATCTCTAAGCCTCTATTTATAGCCACAATGTCATGTTTGAAAAATGTGTTGGGCTTACTAAAGAGCCTCTGTCAGTAGCGGACATCACTCAATCTGCACTTTCGGTTCAGTTGCTTGAAGTAGGCAACAAAGCTCCTGATTTTGCAATCTGGTCTTTGTCTGTTGTAATATGATACAGAGGGATATTAACCACAATACAGCTACTCCGCAAATCCAAGTGTGAATTGAGAATTAATGTTGTGCAAATGCATATGCTTCTGATAATGTCTTTATGACAGCATTAAGGTTAGTGTTTTGTGAAATGTACGCACATGAAACAGTGGAGACTGCACTGACAAAATCTGACTTGAAGCATTGTACATTTAACAAGATGCAAAGGTTTAAAAAACCAAAAAGAACTGCCCCTCATGTAATGAAATATACTCTTTTCATGATGTAGACACTTTGGATTTGAATCCCAAGGTTTCAACTATATACTGCCACTTTTGTTCAACTGATAAGGTCAACTGGAGACATGTCACTTCATGAACCAATGTATTCAGCAGTGATTTGCAAGTATTCAACAGCTTTGATTGGCATAGGACATTAATGATTCAAAGATACATGTTTACAGTAATAATCAGATTTCCTAACGACATCATAATGACAAATGAATTTTCATCATTATTTTCATTATATAACCAGCTATAGAGGTAATTCTATCTGACATATACACATGTATAGCAATTGTGTTGGTGATGAAGTTAAAATTATATTCTAATTGATAACAATTTTTCTTTGTCCCCTCACAGAATTCAAGATCTCTGCATTATCTTTGCAATCATTGTGGTATTTTTGGTGTTTTTCAACACATACATTTTTCAAGCTGGATTGGTTTCCCTACTAATCAGAAAATTCAAGACTACCATTTTTATTTCTGTGTTATACTTAGCATTATCAGTGGGGCTTCATGTATGGACTATGGTAAGCTTAAGGTTGTAGTTTTGGAAAAGTTGATGTTAGGTATTACATCACAATACACTTGCATCTTTGTGGTGCAAATGATTTTATCAGTAATTAAACATCAGGTAATGGCAAGTAAGCCTCTGCTATGAAAGAGTTTTCTAAGGCTGTTTGAATCATATGCAATGCAAGGTAGAGGGGTTGCACCACATCCACACATGATAAATTTAACGAATTTATTTAACGAATTTATTCAGCTTCGCCAACCAGCAGGGACACCGCAACAGCTTGCACCAATTACTGCGGGCCCAATATACCCACACATCCCATCCCAGGGGAGGACATCCATCACACAGTAATCTCGTGTGTGGGAAATTAACGTCTCCTACCCCAACCCTACAGGAGACGGGACCTCCATTTATTTGTCCCTATCCGAGAAGACTAGAATATCTAACCATTATTTTCTTGATGTTATAGAAAGGCAGCAATTCTTTTCAATTATTTTAAGACCCTGAATGTTGGTCTGGTCAGGGCTCGAACCCTTGACCTCCCACACAACAGTCCAGTGCTCTATCCATTGAGCTAACTGGGAGGCGTTTTATAACCGGGAGGCGGTTATAAAATGCATGTGTATGCATGTAATGCCAGTCTAAGTGTACACTGCACTGCTTGTGGAATATGTGTGTGGTTTACATGTTTGCAAACACCAGGAACCACATGTACAAGTGAAACACTTTTGTTTGTTCAAAGAGATTGAGAAAGTTTTTTTTCCAATTCATTTAGTAAAGTGAATTCACATGTAGAGTTGTCTATAAACAAGAGCTCTGAGCTGTGAGCATGTACAGCATTGCCATGGGATAATATATGATATATTTGTTGTTTGTAGCTTTAACTGCTGGGATGGAAGGATACAGAGGTTTACAGTCTCTGAATAAGTAAAGTCCAGTACAATTTACCCTCAGTATTTTACTGGGTTGCTGTAAGAGTAATTGCTGTACTATAAAGACATCAAAGAACACAATGCAACATCATTTGAATTATGCCACCACCCTGCAAAAACTGATAATTTGAACCTATTAGAAGTCCAATACATAAACCCCAGGTTTTCTGCACACTTTGTCATCTAGAGGTGATTGTCTTTCTTTTTAATCTTGTTTTTTAGACATTAAAATGGGGTGCCCCCCAGGCATTTATTTGGAATGAAGCTTTCCAAGCACTTTTTGTTTTTCAAAGAGTTGGTAAGTGTATTTCACTTTTGTTATTTTTTTTGCCATTAACCTTTTTTTTCTTCATTTGACATAAATATCTTGTAAATACTTACAAGAAGTTGTCCTGATGATTTTATATTGTTATATTGTTATGTTTTGTACTATTACATATTTAACAAATGGTGAACGCCATAGCATGTACTATTGGGTTATGGATGCACGTGGGAGGTTGCTAAGCACGAAAGAAGTGTAATAGTCGCACGAGGTGATAGCCGAGAGTGACTCTAGCTTCTTGAGTGCTTAGCAAACCTCCTGCGTGTATCCATAACTCAATAGAACATGCTATGGCGTTCACCATTTGTTTTATAACATAACATTGATTCATTGGAACAAGAGTGCCCTTTTATTTAACAAATCTTAGGTGATCAGAAAAAAACAAGCACYCGCGGAGAAATAGTCTTAGCATTTGCTCACGTCAGCAGCATGCACCCATGGGCAAATAGTAGATGCTGAATTAACTAATCAGAGCACGCGCTTTGCTTTAGTTATGTTATAAAACAAAATAAAGGAGATACCATGAGTACCCTAATTGGCAAAGAACCTCTGATTTAATGCAGAGGTAAACCTATGGAAAATTGAAGCATTTTAAGTTAATTATATAAAAGCAATATACTGCACTTTCTACCAGTTTACTAGCATGTAGGAGAAGTCAATGAGAACCACATCTCTTTGTAGATGTAAACATACAGTTTCAGTCAGACCATGCAATAAGTGGTGGTGAGCAAACAAAAATATTCTTACTTTGAATGTGATTATATCATAACCGTTTGAAAGGGAAGAAGAGTTGAAATACTTGTTCACAAGTGCCCCATTAAACACTTGACGATAAATGATATTGCTTTGCTACGATGGGGCGCGGGGATGGCCAGGGGTGAGAGTGCTCACCTCCCACCACTGTGGCTCAGGTTTGATTTCTGGACCTGGCGTCACATATGGGTTGAGTTTGTTGTTGGTTCTTGTCCTTGCTCTGTGGGTTTTTCTCTGGGTCCTCCAGTTTTCCTCCCTCCGCAAAAACTAACATTCCAAATTCCAATTCAATCTGGAGTTGAGTGTTTTTAACATGAGCCACCAGCTCAGAAGACTGGGCAACCACTTCTTACATTATTGACTTTAAATAAAATTACTTGTTAGAAAAAATTTATTATCTTAAGCTTTTGTTAGGCGTCCATTTTATTATTGTTGCTTCTTTCCTCCAGGAGCTGTCTTATATTATTACTTCTACAAGAGAACAGCCTTGCGACTTGGAGATCCAAGATTCTATAAGGACTCTCAATGGTTAAGACAAGAATTTGCAAGGACTCACTGATTACTATTATGCTCTTCAAAATATGGAATCTAGATGTTCAAGGAAGGAAAGAGTGATAACAACCCAATCATTCATAAAAAATTCACTAATAAACCACTTTTCTGTTTATGGAGGATTTCTGGTGTTGTACAGCCCAGATTTACTGCTGTCTTGAAATATGAATGCGTACATAAATAATGATGGTGCTTCCCCAAGCAAAATTAAAGAAGTGGAAAGTGTGAAGAGTGCTCATGGGCTTTAGAAATGTTGCTAGAATTAATAGATTCATTATGAAAAGAAATACCTTTATGGTGAATTTTTATTGTACACACTGGACCACTTTCTATCTCTTTGGATGTGAACAAGGTTCACTTCTTAACAGAAATACTGTAATGCAAAAAATTCATCTGTGTTAACAGCTGTTTCCAGGAAGTCCAATTACACAGGTTAAAAAGATTTCTGGTTTCTGGAATGTGTTGAAAGGGAAAAAAAAAAAGACAAAAATCTAAACTGAAACTGTGTTTGTTTTTCTTATCTTACGATACTCAGAAAGTCTTTTAGCAAGCCTCAGTTTGAAGCTTAGAATGGATCAGGGCATAACCCTGCAAAAAGGTGTACTGGTTTTGAATGAGAAGTTTGTCAAGTAGTAAAATATCGTGACTGAAATACTCACTAGATTTGGTACATGTTGCTATGGATTAAGTTATTTAAACACCTTTCTGTGCTAAAACCTTGTGTACAGTTTGTACTTACAAAATTATAGATACATCTGAGAATTGTGTGTTTGAAGACAGCTTTTGAATAATGATTTTATTAAGTGTTATTTTGTATACTAAACAAGCTTTTTAACATAAAAAAATATTGGCAAGAGCAGGAAATGGCGTCTGTGCACTCTGAGTATCGCTAATAAGTTTGCATTGCTGGTAAAAGTTTTTGTACTTTGCTATTGTGAGAAGTTGGTAAAAAACATTCTATGTCTACGGATTGTAGATTTGCATCCAGTTAAATATATTGGTATGTTTCAAAATGAATTAATTGTCTCCAATAAAATGTTTCAAGCTGTATCAATGAGGTGAATGATCATTTGTTGGCACTTCATACAACACGTTTAATATTTTCTAGTCATGAGTTTGTGACGCTGGACATGATTGACTTGATTGTTGAGACTTCTAAGGTTGCTCTCAGTCTCCTTTAGCCTTTACAGATAAATATTATTTTATCTGAGCCTGTCGTTGCTAAGAGACGCTGACAGACAAAACAGACAGACCGACAAACAGCATCCAAACTGACTTTCATTTATTCAATTTCCTATGCACTGTTGTGAGACAGATTTTTTTCTTCGCCTCTCTCCCTCCAAGAAAACAAATGGCCAGCAGACAAATGAGGTAGAAACTCGACTGAAATATCGGAGGTTTTAACAACAATTTGATCAAAGTCTAAAAAGGATAGTAGAAGAAAGTCACTCCCCTTTTGACAAGAAACGTTAACTGCTAAGCTGAAAATTGGTCGATTATTTGATGTGGTTACCTTTGATGTCATTGGTTTATCGGGTAAATACGAGACAATGAAAGTACAAGATGGTCTGGGGTGAAGGATGCCAACAGACTAACTGATAGACGGGTGAACAAAAAATAGCAATATCTGAAAACAGAGACTGACAATTCAATAGAGAGATATGGCGAGAATCGTCATTTCACATAGTGGTCCAAAGACCTTTCTGTGATCTGAGTCACAATAAAGGAAGCGTGGATCAAAGAACGTAGGTGAACCCACTCAAATATCGTTTCGCTGTTTAATGGCTTGTCATTATCATTTTGAGGAAAGATGGCGGCCCACCGATCCAACAACTTAAAAAAAAACTGTGTGGTTTTGTAATCCAGTTGCGTAATCTTAATGATATACTGCGCAACATATTAAGAAGGGCGTGGTCGTGCAGCTGTCACAAAACTTCGCATAACGCGTTCAAACAAAACGTCACCCTGAGGCTCAAGTCAAGCACAATCACTCACAAAACGAAATAAAATCGAATCGCTGTAATACGACAAGAAGCAGCAATTAGTAACACTTAGGCATCCCTTGGATGTAAATTGATTTTTTTTCATCCAATGAAACGGTTAGGCATCCCTGACACAGTGATAAATTGACGGAAGCATAAGAGGTCATTTCTACTTTACAATTCGTCAGAAGATCTCAATAGATTGTGCTCGACAATTAGTAAGGTGAAGTGATCCATCACTTGATATTTTGCACGAATTTCGGTGACGAAAGAAACATGCAGGTGCCTTCAGGAGAAAGAGCTAGAAAGAGTAACTAGAAAACGCGGGCAGTGATCCGCAAGTGGAGGATGTTTCAAGACTACGAAAACAAACCTGGAAATATTTTAAGCCACCTTAGTTATTTTGCCTCCTTAGGGGTTTACTAGGAAGCATTGATTCATAACTGGATTCAAGAACAAAGGTCAGTGCGGTTTTAAGTGGTGAATTGACAATTTTTCTGCACTCTGAAAATTTAAACTAAGTGGTTCTCTGGATCTTTTTTCATCACTCAATCACCCGTTTTTAGGTAATAATATTGAAATTTCTCATAATCACAAATATAATGCATTTTAAAGCCACCTATCTTGGAAATTCTAATGTATAATGAATTTCCTAAGTGTGATCATAGTGTTACCGACATGGCTGCACAATTCGCCTCAGTTGCCTACCAGGCTTGTTGTACATGTTCTTCGTAAGGCCGTAATTAAGACAGTGAACTTCATATATTCATTGTATCTGATTTATAATCACGGGTTTATTACGAATCAACTTAACGGCCTGCTCCCAGTTGGCTTGTTAGCTCAATTGGTAGAGCGCTGCACTAGTATCGCAGAGGTCAGTGGTTCGAATCCCGTACAGGCCTGATTTTTTTCAGGTCTGATTTTCGCTATTCACGGCCTAAATAGCGCTATCTACTGCGAAGGATCGTGCATCATACGCACATTGGCTCTCTCCACAAGACACTGCTCGTCAGAGCTTAGAACCGCATATTGTTTAGTATTAAGCAAGTTCCTCTTAATTTCAGAAATAGTTATATAAACAATGCTGTAAAATAACATGAAACGAAGAAAAATGTTCCCATGTTCATGAAATTCTGCGCATTATATTGTTCTCGCATTTTGAAAACTGATTTGAAATATACTCTGGTTGTGTTGCGATGATTTCAACCCCCGGACATGAAAAAAAAAAATTATCATAATATCATTATTTTGTAAAGTAATTGGTTTCTCATCCTTCCCTTTGAGAATGGTTTTGAGTTTTGTTTACAATTTCTTTTATTAAGCACGAGATCTTTTAAAAAAAAAAAACGTTACCATGTTTCGCTGTTTCGTTTTCTTCATTATTTGCACGTCATCTTCCGAAATATAATTAGAGTATCGGAATAAACCCAACTAAACTTCTCTGCATTTGCCCGTACACAAATGCAACAAAATTAACTAATGGAATAGTTTTGAGATGCACCCATTAATCCTTTTACTTCGCTCATCTAAATTTGAATCTTCATACCCGTTTTCTAGATTGTTGCCTTGGAGAATTTGGTGTTAAGTTAAGTAATATTCACGGTTGGAACTTTTCTTTATTCTCAACATCTGTATTCTCAACAAGACAATGCTGAGGTAAATCTCTTTACTGGTCAGTACTGGAGAAGAAAGGGTTAAAGAGAAATTAATTAAAGCTGGTAGAAACCTCGGTGCACATGAATATCCGGCTGTTTCAACCAAAGAATGATCGACCAGAGTCCGTTGTCTAATTCAATATTAAAATCAATGCAAGTGAACTTTTTCAGTGTGGCATCTTTTGAGAACAACTCTGAAATTTTGGTTTTTGTTTTCCGTTTATACCAATTTGATTAAGATATGTTAAAAAAAAAAAAAGACATTTGAGTGCTTTGAGCAAAATAGAAAAGATTGAACGCTTTTTCCGTAATTTGAGATCGGAACTTGATATTATAAAGAGGATACCTGATCAGCATTAGAGGTTTTTTTTTAATAGGAACTAAAATGTCTGATATAGCTCCTACCTCATTGTAAATGATGGCAGATATATTGTTGCTGCGATCAATTGAACAAAACTACCCTTTTTTACTCTCTGCATCTGGGCGGTAATCCGAGATGTTATACAAGTACGTTGCTCATGCAATCTTAGTTCCACTTAAGAAAAAAACAGATTCACTAAAAATGTTGAATAAAGCTGAGAAACATTTACTACTTTCAGTATTTGTCTGCTCTGTTTCGTACAATATATCCGCAGCTTCGAATTCTGGCTGAACGAATATGCTAGATGTTCATGCTACATTTCTAGGGATGCCCCTAGGCAAACAAAAGTAGCGATCTCTTCCAGCTGATATATCAAATTATTTCCGAATTCAGCTTTTTGAAAACCCGCCTAAATTCCAAGCGAAGTGATTTACCCTCGACAGAGGAACTTTAAATTTTGTTATCACTACAGTACAGTAGAGAGGTTGAAAACTTTCAAGGTGCATGGATATAAAATCGCGCTCGGTTTTTTTTTCTTTTTTACCATTAGCAGTTCAAAGTACTTTAGCTTGGAGTCTGCACTGTTTTATATCAACCTCTTTTAATGTCCTAAAAATAATATTCTGGTTTATGTGTTTTGCACACAGGCAAAAGACATTTCACTTGGAAAACTCACAGATTTAGGATCATTACTTTACTGAGAATGGAAGAAGCTTTTGCAAGCAATAACGTCACTGACCATACAAGAGAAAGCTCATCACAGCTGCCTGCCCTACGAATGATCGAAGTCGTTCTGTATTTCACAATATCTGCGGTTGGAATAACAGCCAACAGTATGATTTTTCACTCATTATTGAGCCGTCATAGTCTAAGGGTTGGTGAATATCTTATTCTGAACTTGGCTCTCACCGACTTGGCAACTTGTGCTGTGAGCATACCCTTTGACTTGACAGAGCGTCTCATGGGAGGATTCCCGTACGGTTCGATCATGTGCTACGTTGTGTATCCGTTGCAGACAGTACTCATGGCAGTCTCGGTGATCACACTACTCTCAATGAGTTTGGAACGTCGGCGAATTGTAATGAAACCCTTCCTTCGACCAAGGGTTCTTCCGAGAAAGGCAAAGATCGCAATTTGTGTCTCGTGGATCGCACCTATTTTGGTGATAATTCCCTACGCACTTGTACTGAGGCTTGATGGAGAAAACTGCGTGGAAAAATGGCCCGAGCATTGGCACGTTCGAGTTTTCACGCTGACAAACTTTACGATCTTTTTCGTCATCCCTATTGTTGTAATTGCTACTTCTTACTTCAGAGCGGGGAAAAAAGTACGAATGGAACTTGAAAAGCTCAATGATATGCTGGAAGGGAGCAACAGATCAAAGAGGGACTACACCAGGAAGCGCACAATTCAAAAGCTTAAAGTTACAAAGATGTTCATCATTGTTGTTGTCACCTTTTTTGTGTGCATGTTACCCACACATTTGGTGTGGATTTGGCACGATTTTGCTCAGGGTCAACAGAACACACACTTTCAGGATTTACTTACATTCAGCAATATTGCAATGTACTTAAACAGCGCTCTGAATCCTTTCATCTTCAGGAGTGTTCGAGGCAAATCGTTCACCCGGCTGATCGCGTGCTGTTGCAAAAAGTTTGGCGCGAACTCACGCGAGTCATGGATGTTCCCTTGCTGTGTTGACACTCATCACCAAATGTCTCAGGTGGAACGTGAAAGAGCCATCAGAGTCACAAGACAGTCTTTGTCTGGATCATCTGACGTCTGTGACCTATTTGAGGTGTTCTACGAGACGAGTGTTTGACTATCGAGGACCCCATAGCGCCCTGTTGTTGACTGATTGCAGATCGCACCCACTTTATCTCGATGGATCTATATCGGGCACGCCAGGCCTACACTGCAATGCACAATCATCTGAACCGTACATGCCATATTCTTGTATCACGATCGAGTGCGCTTTTTTCAATGAGAAATTATACAATGTCTCTTTCCATGCCATAAATTTTGCCTTATGTGAGCAAGGACCACTTCGCTGACATCAACGGGTAGCCACGGCTATGGGTTTGATTCTCTTGTCACCGTTTAGATGTGAAACCATTGCCTTAGATCCTCTTTTATCCACAAGAGAATACTTACAGAAAAACCGTTGTGTCCGTGATATATGCGTTATTGACCAAGCGTGAGGCCAGAAGATGGCTGGGTATTGGCCGAGTTCTTTTTCTGCATCTTTGGGGACCTCGAATTTGTCTCGGTACATTTAACAACGCAAAAAAAGAACGGGGCTAATATCCAGCCATCTTGACCATGCAGGCTTGGTAAATAAAGGATTTACTGCATAGAAAAAAGATTTGGCTTCAATGAGAATCAAGAATGACTTGCATATCCCCAGTCGTAGTCTCAGGTCATCCAAACAGTCTCTTCTGGTTGTCCCAAGGTCTATTCAAAAGTCTTAAGGTGACAGAGCTTTCGCGGTGGCTGCCCCACGGTTGTGGAATGTTCTGCCCATTCATATGAGACAGCCTGGTTTTTCAGTCTTTGGCTGCTTTTAAGAAATGTCTGAAGACTTACCTTTTTAAAAAGCTATCTTTTCAAATATTTTGTGATTCTATGTGATTGTTTGTCTTAATTATTTTGTCTTAAATCAATTGTAGTCATTATCTTTTTAACTCAGTATCGTAAAGCGCCATAGAGCAGTCAGATATGGCGCTATATTAGTCCATTATTTATTTATTTATTTATTTTATTATTATTATTTCGAGAGCCGAGAAAGAAAGCGAACTGCGTTTGTAGCATAATAAACCCGAGAGGGTCGTTTAGTTTTTTCTTTGTTTTTTTTTTACTGTCCTCTGCCGATGTTTGCGACTTCGTTGTCGTCATTGTCCAAAAGTTACGAACTTTGTAAGTCCGCTCCACGCACTTCTTTTTCGGCGCGGTATCAAGGTGGGCAAGATGGGCCCATCTTAGCCGCTCGGGTAGCCAATCAGAACACAGGATTCGCCTTATCTTGCCCGCATGCGCTGTCAGCTATGTAATAAATCATCGTATTGAACCCCAGAATAGCTCAGAACGAATCGCCGCAACCGAATTCAAATTGGATGTTTCGTTACTTTTGAGACTCTAAGGTACTGAGTTCATGTGTTATTACACATGACTAAAAAGGTATTTTCTCTACTCCTTTTATTACCGTAAATGACAAAATCTTAAATTAGTGCTGATATGAATTACCTAAACAAAAACGATTCCGGTGTGATTTCTGAATGTAATTGGCGATTGGCAGTGAATGCAAATGTGTGGTCAAACTGTTGGACCACCACAAAAAAGAAGGCTCCTCATTTGTAAGTCCGCTCCACGCACTTCTTTTTCGGCGCGGGATCAAGGTGGGCAAGATGGGCCCATCTTACCCGCTCGGGTAGCCAATCAGAACACAGGATTCGCTTGGATGTTTCGTTACTTTTGAGACTCTAAGGTACTGAGTTCATGTGTTATTACACATGAATTAAAAGGTATTTTCTCATCTCCTTTTATTACCGTTAATGACAAATCTTAAATTAGAGCTGATATGAATTACTTAAACAAAACGATTCCGGTGGGATTTCTGAATGTAATTGGCGATTGGCAGTGAATGCAAATGTGTGGTCAAACTGTTGGACCACCACAAAGAAGGCTCCTCGCAAAAGCCAAAAAATCGGTTAGAAACTTACGTATCAACAGCCAAGCCTGAAAAAGCTGCAAGCTACAAAAACTTTAAAAGTGTGAAAGTGTTGGGGGGTTTTTACCACTCGCTTGGACGAATTAACGAAAGGTACTAAGACTCTGTAATTTTCTTCTTTATTCTCTTCTGGAGAGCTACTACAGCAACGCTCTATGCATCTAATAATAATCATTACCATGCTCTAGCGTGAGGAACCAACGCTTTAAGTTGGAAAATCGTAGACATGTTTGGGTTAGCTGACCGTGGGAGTTTCCGCAGCGTATTCGTTGTTTTGCAAAGGGGGAAATAGGGTGGCTCGCCTTGAAGCACTTGGCGAGCACCAAAGAACCAATTAAACGCCAATGATAGAGCTGCATACAAAAATCACGCGCACAAAACTGGATCTTAGTGTGGGTAAAGCTCAAGGTCAGTTTTACCAACCCAAACATGACCACCTAGCAAACTAATTATTCTCAACCAGAACAAGCGATTAAAATGTCTAGCAAGGTAAGAACTGAGCCAATTTCAAGCACACACTAAAAATAAATGATCAAAACTATAAATTTATCAAAATAACACGAAAGCGTAAAAAGGCGAGACTCAATAAAACAAAAGGTCAACCTAAAAATACTCTAAATAGCAATCCTTTAAAATACTCTACAACAAAAGGTTCGGCTTCTTAGTCCCTTACGAAACCCCCCTCCTACTCCTCCCCGCCCCCGGCACTACTTTAACTTAGGATTACATTTCTCGTCTGACCATGAGTTTATCAAACTATAAAAAAGCGAAATGTCAGAGTACTAAGTATGGGAAAGCGATATCAACAAAAAAAAAAAAAAAAAAAAAAAAAAGGAAAGAGAATACTTGATGGGAACAGGAAAAAAATCCTTGTAAAAAATTTTAATTTTGAAATTAATGATCTGTTGGTAAACATCATTGTTCTGACGAGGTAGCGTTACACGGCTATGCGGAAAAAGCAAGGCAAACTCAGGGTTGTCCCCCCTTTTCCTCTTGAAAGAAGCTAATGAAGAAGTATGTTCTGGAAAGCTTTTAGAAACGAAATATATGCGTGAAACTTTTGATGATTCTGACCGCAACTTGAGTTTCCAAAGAGTAATCAGACTTTTCCGGAATTATCTTTGCATATTCTCAAAATCCGACCTCCGATCCAGCCACTGCGAATCTGGTGAAGCTACCTGGCAGGCTATCCATGACTTAAACAAAGTCTCCCTCCTCTTTCCTCCATCCATGGACCACTTTCATAGATGGCTGCCGGATTAATATTCTTTTGTTTAACTTTAAATTAGCCCCTTCTGGCCTCGCTTGAGATAATGTGTTCTTTTGAATTTTGTACTGGAGAACGAGGCCAGAAGGGCTAATTTAAATTTGAACAAAAGACTATTAATCCGGCCGCCATTTATGAAAGTGGTCTATAGGAGATCTTTTTCATCATTTAAAGCTTCATTAATTTTTTCTTGCGATAACCTCTCTGGCAACAGCTGTTTGTAAATTTAGTGTGTGCGGCCAGGTTACTGAGCTGTTTCAAAATGACGACGTCCATTACAGACACTTTTTAGAACATTTAGGGAACTTAAAAGGCTGTAAGCAGTAAATTGATATTTCCTTTTCTCTGACAACGGAGATGAAAATTATATGGAATTTACTTTTCATTCGAGGGCCAACTTTTATTACCATGATAACAGGCGCTTAAAAGAGGTTTCAATTTATAGCAGCTGCTAAAATGGCATTTTGTGCCCATCCATTGATAAATGGTTACAATATTTCATTTAGAAACTATATGTATATATATAATCATTTCAACAAATTTTCTTATGAAAGGAATCGAATCTAGCTGTGTTTCTTTTAAGAGAGATCAATTCAATCTCACCCACCAAATTATTGTAAGTCGCTATGATGTTTCTGCATGTTCTACATTGGCAAAATAAATAGGAAGTCGGCTCTCCTAATTTAAACAATCTTACTTATTTGCTGATTTGCATCTTAATCAGCTCTCCACAGACTGACAGGGCTATTTGTAGACAAATGAACTTTGATACAAGCCAAAGCAACCACTGGGTCTCGGCAGTACAAGTAAAAACAAGGAGTCGCAGTATTTGCTTCAGATTTGCAGAATAGTGCAATTTGAAAACATTCTGAACGGCCTCGGTTAAGGTAACTTTATCATTTTCGCTGTCAAAATTCAGGTTGAAGTTGTCTTTGTACATCTTTGTTGTCAGGAGGAAGTTTCTAGTATCGCAAAGGCATGACATCGGTATGTTTTCAAACTAAATTATGTGATCAGACACGATAATTTAATAGTTTGCGAACTAATTACAGCCATTTTGATTTGGATCTAGCAATCTGTGCATTAAAAACAGTTTAATTTATCGATTTTTTTTTTTTTAAATCGCCAGCATCTGGGTTTGACTTTCTCATCTTTTTATCTTTTTACATTTTCAAAGCAAAGATGTGCTGGAAGACAAATCCAAAGAGACAAATGGACAATTTGCAACTCCATAATTCACAACCATATGTGAATTAGCATATCATGCTTTTCTTGGAAAATTTCATTCGGCCTAGAGTTCTTTGAAAGATCCTATCTTATGTCGCCAGAGCAAATAGACATTCTGCCCGATGACCACATCGAAAAGCATTTCGAAAAAGGGTAAATGTCAACAACGTACCCGGCAAGGAATGTATACCGTAAGAGCAAAATGAACATTTAACCTTAATATCTAAAACGCCGGCTGAGATTTTCTCATTCATACTCCAAACCATTCGAGGTATAGTAATCATTGATCACGCTACTTCTTGCAGAAATACGAAATCTCATTAAGTATTGTGTTTCACTAATTATTTTGTCAAAAAAAGGGTTATGGTAGACGTTCAACATTTTTAATTGGCTCTGTTAGAGACAATGGACCGGAAGAAAAACTTTTATCCTAGACATTTTCAAGTAAAGGGAGGAAGTGGATCCCGATAAGTCAGACCTTAAAACTTCATTGTTGGTTTTCAATTAACCACAAGATGGCTTACCGAGACACCATTAGCAGTTCAGTTAAGAGGTCTGTTTCAATTTTGCCTTCGGGTTCAGTTCGACTGAAGTGCCTTTGTGAGACGGAATGGATTAATATTTCGGGGCTAAATAACCTGCCAGCTATTTATTTAATGTCACACAAAACGTTCCCAATGCTCAGTCACATGACCCCGAGGCTATTCGAATATAAATTGCTATTGCTTTTTTACAGTATTCGAAGAATTTAATAATTAAAAAAACTGATTCATAAGATGTGAATTTTCCATTTCCTTTCTTCATCAGAATAACGTTAAAATTGAATTTCATTACGGTATTTGTGGATAGGCTGAGAAATAGAGAGGTTGGAAAGTTTACAGGGTGCATGGCATAACACTGACACATATTTTACACAAGTTACGTAACACTTTATCAACTACGCATCATCTAACATCCTTCCTACTCTAATTAAAATCGAGACCAGCATTTTCACGTTTTTACCTTTAGCAGTTCAAAGTACTTCAACATAGTATCGCCATTAAGAAAATATACATAGGTATATTATCTTGTGAGATTTTCGAGAACCGGGCCGGCAAAAGCATTTAAATACTCTTACTATGTGCCAATTAAACGCTTCCATTTATTGGGGGAAACCAGAATCGCACCGGCTTCCTGTGGATAATGACGTCTATCTCTAAGTGAACCAAATGGAAATCTTCTCCCATTTCTAGAACACTAACTTTACTAAAAGCTATTTCCCATTAGCCTCTTTCAATATAATTCTGAAAAAAAAAAAAAAAAAAAAGCCTGCTAAAGCTTTGCCACAGGCAATAAAGCTAAGAAAGTGAAATTCAGCCAAGGCCAAACAATAAGGTAGTGCTGTTACTATCAATCATTACAAGAAAAACACTACAGTTTTGTGATCCGCCCACTCCTCTGAGGTCCACAGGAACCCATATGCACACTGGGCGACAGTCCTTTGATGGCAAGACTGACAACACAGTTTTGTGCCACACCCCACACCCCTTTAATTAGACCACTGGACCCCAAATGTACATTGGTTGATAGCCTAAAGAATTTGTTGATAGCTTTTTTGAAGGAACCTCCCATCAAAACATTTGGCTTTGCGCGAGCAGTTTTCACGATTTTTTAATTCCAAGAATTTATTTGAAGGAATTGGTCAAGAGCCGAGGCGACCTGGCCCTTAAAGAAATAACAATATCCCACTTCTTTGTCTAGTTTTAACTGTTTTTAACACTCAGGCCATATATATTTATATTTGTTTTACGCCCTTCAGTAATATCCCAGTTTATGTATTCTGCAGACAAGCCAAAGACATTTCTCTTGGAAAACTCACAGACTGAAGATCATCGCTTTCCTCGAAATGGAAGAAAGTTTTCCAAGCCGTAGCGTCACTGACCATGTAAGCAAAAGCTCAGTACAGCTGCCTGCCATTCAAATCATCGAAATTGTTTTGTATTTCACTATATCTTTGATCGGAATAACAGCAAACAGTATGGTATTTTATTCGTTGCTGGGCCGTCATTATCTAAAGGTTGGTGAATATCTTATTCTGAACTTAGCTCTCACTGACCTAGCAACATGTGTCGTGAGCATACCCTTTGATTTGACAGAACGTCTCATAGGGGGATTCCCGTTTGGTACGATCATGTGTTCCATTGTGTATCCCTTGCAAACGGTTCTCATGGCAGTCTCGGTGATCACACTTCTTTCCATGAGTCTGGAACATCGGCACATTGTAATGAAACCCCTTCTTCCACGAATTCATCCGAAAAAGGCAAAGATCGCAATTTGTGTCTCGTGGATCGCGCCTATTTTATTGATAATTCCCCATGCACTTGTGCTAAGGCTTAATGGGGATCAGTGCTTGGAAAGATGGCCTGAACATTGGCATGTTCAAGTTTTCACGCTAACAAACTTTACGATCTTTTTCGCTATTCCGATCGTTGTCATCGCCACGTCTTACTTCATGGCGGGGAGAAAGGTGCGAGGGGAACTTTCAAAGCTCAAAGATATGCTGGAAGGGAGCAACAGATTAAAGAGGGACTACATCAGGAAGCGCACAATTCAAAAACTTAAAGTTACAAAGATGTTCATCATTGTTGTTGTCGCGTTTTTTGTGTGCATGTTACCCACACATTTGGTATGGATTTGGCACGATTTTGCTCAGGGTTCGCAACGAAACGCATACTTTGAGGGTGTATTGGCGTTCAGCAATATTTTCATGTACTTAAACAGTGCTTTGAATCCGTTTATCTTCAGGAGCGTTCGAGGTAAATCGTTTTCCCGACTGATCGCGTGTTGTTGCAGAATGTTTGATGTAAACGCAAGCGAGTCAAGGTTATCCCCGCGCTGTGTTTACACTCATCGTCAAATGTCTCAGGTGGAGCGTGGAAGAGCCATCAGATTCACAAAACAGACTCCCTCCAAATCTTCTTACAGATTTGAAATGTGTTACGAGACAAGCGTTTAACAATCGAAGATCCATTGTAAATTATTGCAATGACTAAAATTTCTATTGCTTATAGCGGCGTTGTCCTCTGGAAAGCAGCAGGTCGATTGAACGAATCCTTTTTGACTGCACGGACATCGGTTGTTTTATGAAGAACATGACGAAGTACGATACTTTGGAGGTTTATAATTTTAATTTCAAATGGTGACCCACAGGCAGACTTAAGAAATTTAAATACCACCAAGTTATATTATTATTTATCAACTAATTTAAATGTAAACATTCTATGAACATAGTTTTAAGTTTCTGAATATTTGGTAGTATTTATCAGTTTTCGGTTTTTTACACGACCTCACTGGTTTGAAGCTTCGATTTTTATCTTGTATAAATAAAGTTTTAGGTATATAGTTTGTGCCAGTTTGGCCGATTCGCTTTCAAACTTATTTGGTCCCAAATAAGGCAAAGAATAACATAACCTCGAATCAGAAGTGCCATCGGCAAGTTTCACCGTACAACACAAGAAACATCAATTATCGTTTTTAATACAAAATCCACAATCATCCTTGTGAAGTATAATCTATGTAAACACTTCCTAAGTTATCAGACCCACAAGTAATTATCCACGTTCCACTAACCGATCAGAATAAACAGAATAAATCGTTTTGGTTACATAGTTTTGGTTTCCTCTTACTAGCTGCAGAATACCTATTCTGTGTTTTGCAAAGAGAGGAGCCAATGCCACCAGAGTCCATCTATTTCACAAACAAATGTCAAATGTTTCCTCGAAAAAAATAAATATGCATGGTTTAATATACGGCGTGCAAATGTCCTATTTTAGGACTCGACAAAGCGTTCCATTACTAGAAGAGGCCGTACTTTGTGGCGAGAAAGGTAAGGGCTTACATTTTCTTCCTTCTTCGATTATTTGTCTTGCTTTCGGTTTAACAAATGCAAGGACAGCTATTCCTTAGAAATATGCAATCTGGTTCAGTGTGAAAATCTTGAATCGCTTGGTAATTTAATCAGTGAGAGATAACGAGTCGTTCTTGATCATAACTTGTTTCAGGTAAGGGTAAAGTCTGTTTAAGAGCCTAGTGGCCCATTAGGTCGGTGCTTAACTCCGGTTTCTGTAGCATGAAGCGACTAGGAGTACTATTTCTACTCCCCCCTGGATGGGATGCCAGTCCATCGCAGGGTTACCCCCCAGCATTAAATTTGCCGGTACCCATTTATACACCTGGGTGAAGAGAGGCACTGTGAGAGTAAAGGGTCTTTCCTAAGAACACAACACAATGTCCCGCCCGGGGCTCGAACCCGGACCACTCGTTCCGGAGTCGAGCGCACCAACCATGAGGCCACCGCGCCTCCACTAAGTTGTTTCAACTGTGGGTTAATATCTGCTGCAAAGGAAAAGTTTTGGAAGAGAACCATCAGGTGATGCTGTGTGACTTGAAGTTTTCCTTAACTTCGATGCGATTAGCGACGCTTCATCCGTGGCTCAGTCCTACTTTAAGGATTTCTCCATATTCTTACAGTTTTTTTTTTCGCTTAAGTTAGCTGTAAAAAAAGTTGTGTCATGTTCTTAAATTTCTATTTCTTGATCAAGATATCTCTTGATTCTATTTCACTATTTACTACATTAGTTTATGCATAGGAAACTCGGAAAAGGAATTCACTTTACCTAAAACAATTGGTCGTTACTATTGCGGCTGTTTTTTCGTGTTCCTTGCTTTTTTGTTCTCTTCGCTCAACCAACTTGTCAAGAAAGACTCACACTACCCTCTCAGCCAATAGACTCACAGTACCCTCTCAGCCAATTGGGTGCAAAATTTGAAGCAGTTACGCGGACTTAGTCACTCGCGTTTTCACGCGCTTCGAGAAGTTTGTGTGATAGCTTGTTTGTGTGATAGCTTGTTTGTGTGATAGCTTGTTTGTGTGATAGCTTGTTTGTGTGATAGCTTGTTTGTGTGATAGCTTGTTTGTGTGATAGCTTGTTTGTGTGATAGCTTGTTTGTGTGATAGCTTGTTTGTGTGATAGTTTGTTTTTTTCTTTGTGTTCTCATTAGCTTTGTGTAATTTCAACTTTAACTAGCTTTCGTGTCAACTGCTGTCTTAACCTCCTCGGAATCGTAATTATAACAAGAGGCACCTGAGCACCCCTTTTTAAATAAAATCAGCCGTTCATTGATCGACGCCATATGCTTACGCTTGATACACCAATAGAAGTACTTCCCATAACTATGACACGTGACTAAGTCAATCGTAGTTTGTGGTACGAAATTGATAGTTACCGCAAATGTAGAGAGCGCGACGCAATAGAAACAATTTCCGATTATGTGTACAAAAATATTCGAAGTGCCAAGCATGGTAACATTGATACTTCTATAGAACAGGTATCTATCGCCTGAACTTGCAGAAAACGTCATTGCTGGGTAACCTGATACGGCTGCGCAAAGAAAAGAGCTAAGATAAGATAAGAGGTCCCTCGGTTACTCGCTTGAAAGAAACCAGTACTGGATAGTACTTCAGGAAGTACATGATTCATATCGCTGCTGTGAAATGCTTCTGAATGTCACGGTGTTTTGAGATTCTAAAAAGTAACATAACCTCTCAGTAAAGTTTTGTTCAAATGTGCGTAATATTCGAGTTCAGATGCCATTTAGAATTTTCTCTCGCAATCTGGCCGCCCACGTGTGTCTTGACAGTCCCTCCCGCCTCTCTCTTTGCATCTTACGAGCTCTGTTTGGCCATTTGAGACGACATTACAATAACTCCTCACAAAATAGGCCACTTTTCTGGCGATAACTGGTCTTTCAGCAGCTTTTTGTGAACTGTGCGTTGAAGTTTTGTTTGTGCAGCCAAGTTACTGATAGTGAAGTTCTTTGAAGAAAATTTTTGGTCGTTTTAGTTTCTTTTTAGAAAACGCTGTAAGAAGTAGATCAATATTTTCCTTTTTCTAGCAACTGTTTCTGGTTCACCCTCCAGCACATTTGTCCTTCAAGGGCCAACTTCAATTTCCTCGAGGCTAGACGCTTAAAGCTAGTTTGAATCATGATATCAGCCGTTGGAAAGAAACTCTTTGTTTGTAACACATCATTATAATTGCATCTAGAAACTACATATTTCATCCAAATAGTTCAATTTAATCGCATTAATCAATAGTAAGTCATTAGTTATCTCCTCGAGGTCCATATAAGCAAATGGAAGTTACGTGACTCGCCCGGCTAATTCAAACAATCTTACTTACTTGTTGATTTGCATCTTGATCAGTTCTCCGGCAGACAAGACAGTTTTCGAAGATAAATGAACCTTAGTACGAGCCAAAGCAACGATTAGGACTTGGCAGTCTAAGTGAACACAAGACGTTATGGTATTTGCATCTGTAATATTGGCCAATTCGAAAATATTTTCAACCTCCTCAATCAAGGTAACTTAATCGATTTTCACTCTCAAATTTTTCGGTTTAAAGCCAGTGCATAAGTGTATACACCTCATCGACGTGTGATCTGACAAGATAACTGAACCTTTGTGAATTAATGACTGATAGTTTGATTAGGATTCATCTTCCTGTGCATCGCCTGAAAGTCAGAAGAAAGGTCAACTTCATTGGTTTTCCACAAAAGTGTCAGCACTTAGGTCAGACTTTTGTTTCCTTTTTCTGAATTTTCAAAGCAAAGATGCGTTGGTTGATTAACTCAAGAAACAAAGGGTGTAGACAATTTGCCTCTCGTAGTTTACAATCTAATGCGAATTAGCATAAAAATTATTTTTCTTGAATATTTCACAAGGCTGATAGTTCTCTAAAAGATCTTATCCTTACCATCGTGCCCTAAAGCATTTTTTAAGTAGGATAAATGTTTACAATATTCACAAGGAATGTCCGTTGTAGAGATATTTTTAAAGAAAGTTTAATAGCTAGAACACTTGCTGAGATTCCTTTATCAAAACTCTGAGCCATTGGAAGTAAAGTAAACATTTAATCACGAGCTGTGTGCGGAAATCGGAAACTGCTTAACTTTTGTTTTTCACCAGTTCAGTATTTGGTCAGAAAAAAAATTCAGTGACGATTTACTCAACAGTTTAAAGAGGCTATGTTCGATACGAATTTCCGAAAGCAACTCACAGTAATTTATCGACTTCAAATTTCGAGGGCGCACAGGGCCTGTTCAGTTTTACACGAAGAGGACCGGAAGATAGAATATCATAGTCAATTTCAGGGAGAGAAAAGAAGTGGATCTCGATGAGTCAGAACTTAAAGGTTTGGCCTTTTTTTTTTTTTCAATTAATCAAAACGTTGCCGTCAGAAACACCATTAGCAGTTGGTTAAGGGGACAGGTTTTATTTTGCCTACATTTTCAGTACGACTAAAGTGCATTTTGTCTAACGGAGGGGATTAATGTATAAGGTCTAAATAACTTGCGAGCCGTTTTTACAACACACATTTTCCTACTAATCCATTGTATAACCCCGAGGCCATTCGAATCTATATCCCTGGCGCTTTGCTCCACCATATGAATCTTCAAGAAATGATTTTAACATGAAAATAAGCAGCCTGGAGAAATTGTCTTAAAGCACAAAAGGGCAGGGATGATTTGTAAAGATGGAGCTAATGGAAATCAAGTTCTTGCTTCAATTATTTTCCTTCTTATCTTTCATATTTCTTTATCGGCGGTTAATAATGTATGGACTAATATTTGTAGTTTTACACGTGAAGTTCAAGGTAAAGGAATATTTTTCCATAGTTTTTGTGCCAGTGCAAATTTGATGCTACATTGCAAATTATGTAAATGATCTCCTGCCGCAATGCTAATGGAGTTTTCAAGAATGTTCTGATTCAGGTTCTTGGTTGATAACGTTAATTGCCTTGAACCAAGTCCAAGTGAAGTGAACGAGTTTAAGAACGAAAAAGGCATATTTAAGCCGATTTTTGATGACAACATCTGAGGCCATCGCTCGCAGATTGAGAGGAATATTTAGAAGCAACTGTCGACATCTCCTTTCTCAAAATGGTGACCAACAGG